GCACAGTTGATGATACAAACTGTGCGAACGAGTTTCACACGCGTATCAGGTGTTGTTTCTGCAGAATGACGAAATTTTTAAACCTCGGCTGGTTAGAGCTGCGGATGCATTGATTTTGTATTTATGGATTTCCCAGCGTTGGCAGCTTCGCAAGCATCAATCCACTCATGGAAGACATCGACAGGTTGCGTCAGGTCTGCGTGAGGCAAAGACAAAGAAAATCGGCCAACAGCACAAAGGTCAGCTTTGGTTTTTGCTTGGTTCTCAGAGCTCCACAGCTGACGCATCAATGTGCCACTTTCAAAAGCTCTTTCAATCATGTCGATTGCGAGTACATACAGTTGACTTGTGTGGATGAGAACGACTCTGTGCACGAGTTGCACTTGGCTTGAGCAGTGCTATGTTGCAAATCACTGTCACAAGAGGATATTCCAGGATCGTTTTTTGCAAAAGTGAGCACGATCATAGCATAACGCATGCTGGACGACCATCATCATCATATCATAGGTGGGGGGGGGGGAAACGATCTCCAATGGAAGCGCATTAAGGCCGTCCCTGTCCAAAGCCCCTCTCCCCCTCTCCCCCAAAGTCAAGCCATTCGGGAGGGGCCTCGTTCTCATACACACACACGCACTCACATCTTGACTTGGACTGCGCGCTCGTGGTTGCAGAAGGGGCAGCTGAACTGGGTCTCGAGGCCAGGACCGGCCTTCTTGGTCTTGATCTCTGCGCGCTTGGACTTTCGTCGACCCATGTCTAGTCTTGAGAATGGACTGGGTTTGTGAATGTGGGATGAAATGAGTGAGCGAGCGATGAAGAGAAGGGGACAAGAACGAGAAAAACAGCCACAATGCCGTACAACGAACAAGGACTGAGCGGCTGAGAAATAGTCTCAGAAGGAGGACAAGTAATAATATAGTAGAACAGTGTGCACATTAGTGTTGGCGACTGGCAAGTACTGCACGGGACCAAAGCAAGGCTCCCAATGCAAAATGCAAAGTCAATGCAACGTCAATGCCGAGCTGTCCACATACACTGTCCTATTGAGAAGGTGCTAAATGAATAGCTGTGATATATGCCGTCCTAACTTTTCCAAGCTTGGATCGTCTCTGATTTTGTCTCAGTCGTCCTTTTTTGTCTTCTCAGATTTAGCTGTTTTTGACTCGAACTGATGGCTGCAAGTGCTGCTGCCGCCGCCGCGACCCGGCAACTGACCCTCGCCGTGATCAAGCCCGACTTGTTTGCCAACCCAGCTCGCGTCCAGGTAAGCCCCACAACAACGACGCGGTGGGAGGTTGGTGACACTGCCAAAACCGCCGCTCGAATTCTCACTACCATGTGTGCATGCATGTATGTGAATGACCCGGACGTTTGTTGACTTTGCCAGGCCATCATGGACGTCATTCAAGAGCATCGATTCGAGATCAAGCATTCGGCCGTCGTGCGGTGGACGCGCGCGGATGCAGAGCGGTTTTACGCAGAGCACCACGGCAAGTTCTTCTTCAACCGGCTCACTGGATACATGTCAAGGTGAGTCGTGCTGCATAAGCAACAAAAGCAAGCGAGTTTCACGGCAAACAGTTGGGCCATACATCATGATGACGGGAGGATTCTGGGGCACGCTTTAACGGGGTTGAAGCACAGGAAACATCGTTGACGAATTGACTGAATCGATTGTGTGTGTGACTTTTGGCAGTGGACCAATGCAGCCAATGGTACTTGAACGAGAAGATGCGATACGATACTGGCGATTGCTGATGGGCCCCACGCATCCAGCACGGTCCGTTCAACAGCGTTTTTGGTTTGATTGGTTGTTCAGTTTCTGTATTTTTGTTGCGAGCGGCTCATCGTGGATGCTGCGACCGATACAGAGCAAGACAAAACTCGCCCAACACATTACGCTCCATCTACGGATTGTCAGATACACGAAACAGTCTCCACGGATCAGGTAACAGTCCGCCTTTGCTATTTTTCGCATGTTTTGAACGAAGAAATCCACCCGCTTATTTTTCTTGGCGCTTTCCCCCCCCCCTCGTTGGCCAGATTCCAAAGCATCTGCACTGCGTGAAATTGGCTTCTTCTTCCCTGATCTGCCTATTGATTGGCCATCCACTCCGTAGGACTGTCGTGGCGAATAAAATGTTGTTGCTTCCGTAACTCGCTCTTCGCCCTTTCCCCCGACCCTCTCCCTCCACACCTTCTTATGTCCTTGTATTCGTATTCTCTGTGTATTTCTACTGCTGTCCACATCCGTTCCAAAACAAAAACCCCAGTCCCTCTTTTGCCCCAAATCTTTGATTCATCATCATCATCATGGCTTCTGCTCCACCAGCGCCACCAACGAGCGAGCCGCCGCTCACCGTCGCCGCCGCACTCGCCAAGCACATTGACCACCAGCGCAAGCTCCTCGTCCGGATAGAAGGTGAGTCGCTCCAAACGACCAAGCTTACTGACTGACTGCGATTGGCTCGTCCTGCTTACTCACTGACCACCTCACTGACCACCTCACCCCCTTCTTGTCACTTTCGCCCCCTGTGGCTGCTGCAGCGCTCGAGAAGCGCGACTTCCACGAGCAGATGCACTTTGAGCGGCTGGTCGATCAGCTGCACAGTCTGCGGTCGCTGATTCTGGGCAGCCCTGGTCCCGGCGCTCCAAACCCACAGCAGCACTGGCAGCACCAGCAGCAGCAACACCAGCAGCAGCAACAGCAACGGCAGCCGCAGCCGCAGCAACAGCAGGTCCCCCAGCGACCCCCTCCGCTGCAGTCGAGCGCGTTCGCAGCGAGCGTCCCTTCCTCTGCCGGCCCACCGAGTGCTGCTGCTACTGCTGCTACTGCTGCTACTGCTGCTGGCTCTGCTGGCTCAGAGTCGGGTGGCGCTGTGGGAGGCGCCGTTGGCTCGGATCACTCGACTTCTACTTTGACCAACGACGCTGCGACCGCTGCTACTCAAGCAACCCCAGGCAACCAGCAGAATTCAAGCGCACAGACTACTACTTCTACTGCTGCTGCTGCTGCTACCTCTGGACTGTCGGGCGAAGCGTCGTCGTTGGGAACAAGCACCGCGACCAACGCGAGCCAAGCGTCGTACGGATCAATTCTTCCGTTCGCTGCTCTCGCTGCTGCACCTGCACCGCGTAGAAATACGGGCAGCGATGCCTACAACCAAGGCAATACAGCGAACAGCAGCGGTGGACTCGGTCCCCGCACCTCGTCGCTGCCAAGCTCCAACAAGCCCACCGCCCAAAGCCAAGGCCAAAGCCGCTCGTCCTCGGTGAGTGCTGCATCTGCGTCCTCGTTCGTGTCATCGAGCTCGACGTCGTACTACCACCAGCAGCTGCAGCACCAGCGCGATTCACAGGCATACTCCCGGCCGCTGTCATCAACCGCCTCCCTCTCCAAGCTCGACGAAGAAGAGGACGTGGTTGTTCTTGGTGTTGCGTCCATCATGCGAGCGTCCGAGTTTGGCTTGGCGCCGCAGGCCTTTAGCGTCGAGGAGCACACTGTCGAATCCGTCCCTCACGAAATCTCCTTCACGGAAGCGGCCGACGTTCCGCCGCAGCAGCAGCAGCAGCACCAACAGCAGCACCAACAGCAGCACCAACACCGCTCTCCGCCAGCAGGTCTTGGATCCGCTGCCACCCCCTCGGCAGTCTCGAACAGCGCCTCCATCAATGACACGGCCGATTTGCTCCGCTCGCTCACAACGTCGCCGTCCACGTCCACTCGCGGATCGCCCGTCTCCTTTTTGTTCTCGGGCAACGGCCACGGCGAGGAGAATGGCAGCGAGCCGCCGCTGCTTGTCATTCCCGCAGAGGAGTTTACCACGCTGCTCGCTCGGCTGCGCGATAGCGACAACCCCCGCACGCGCGAAGACATTACACGCATCGCTGCCAACAATTACATGTTTACCGCCAGGCAGGTCGGCTCGGTGCTTTGCTCGCTCAAGTTTGCCGCAGAAAAGCTTGCCGCCGTGCGTGCCCTTGGTCCCCGCGTCGTCGATGTCGAGAACGAGTCGGACATCTTGACCATGATGCTCAGCGGCGAGTCCATCAGCGATCGGAATCGGCTTATTCAAGCGCTGAGTGCGTCCCGCGCGTAACACGAACAAAAACAAAAACAAAAAAAGGCAAAAAACTAAAGTTACGATGCTGGTTTTTGGTTTCTCTCTTCTGTGACTAGGTGGTGGCTCAAGGTAGCCTGTTAAGTAATGCTCGGCTCCATATTGAATAAACACAGCGTGTGTCTTTTTCGCCATGTAACACATGCAATATTCGAACATTCAAGTTGATTCCTTTCTGTCTGCCGTTCTTTCGTTCAATCTCTCTCCTTCTCTGATTCCTTCGCTTCTGAAGCCATCAATCTTGACGTATAGTATATTCTCTCGCTTTTCGCATCTCGCTACCTTCTCTCCTTCTCAGATTCTCGCAATCGCGCTCTTCTTTTCCTTTCCTCTTTTTTCTTTTTTTTTCTCTCGTTTCTCTTTTCTTTATTTTCCACTTGATTTCGTTGTTGTTTCCCGCTTTCTGACTCGCTATTACCATCACCATTTCCTCCCATTCTAATTCACCTTGAGTGATCTCAGTTCTTGTTCTTCGTCGAAATGTCGTCCTTGTTTGCTCGCTTGGCATTGCCCCGCGCTAGTAACCAAACTGCTCCCATCATCATTCCCTCCTCCTCTCCCCCCACCCACACTCACTCCCTCCGACTCTCATTCCACTACTCGTGGCACTCGTCATCCAATGCATTGAGGAAGCGGGGGCAACGACGACAGACGACGACAGAAGCAGAAGCAGAAGCGAGGAACGGAAAACGAGCGATCCCGTCCTTTGTTCGACTCACTCCACTCACTCCACTCACTTACATTGGAGGTGGGGATGGCGGTCGACTGTGAGAGTCTTCTAACACACTTGCTTTCGTTGTTGTTGTCTGGCAGGCTCGCTCATCCTGGCCAGCCGACCGGTCGCTGCCCGCGCTCTCTGCTCTGCCGCTTCTATTGCCCAAGCTCGGCTCCCCGCTGCTGCGGCTCCTGCTGCTGCTCGTGCCGCTTCGCCCTTCTCGAGCATGATGCTGCGAGCTCCGGTGACCTCCGCAGCTCACACCCAGGCACGGACACCCGTCGCCTTCGCATCCACTTCCGCTCCTGCAGGTAAAAAGCCGAAGAAAAGAAGAAAAATCATCATCGTCTATGGACATGGACATGGCCCTCCTCCTCGTCGTCTTGTGTGGTCAATTGACTTGCATGTTTGTGACTTGGTTTATTGCTCTGCAGCGTCCCACGGCAAAGAGTCCAGCCACTGGAAGTTTGAGCGCGTTGTTGCCATTGGCCTGCTGGTCGCCATCCCGACCGCCGCCGTCTACCCGCACATTGCCGTCGACATGGCTCTCGCTCTGCTGGTGAGGAAGCGGGACGGAGGATGGGGTTGTTTTTCGCTGCACTGGCTGGCGATTTCTGTTTTGCTGACGCTCGATTCTTTGAATGTTCTTGTGACAGCTTCCCATTCATGGCCATTTCGGTCTCCACCAACTCATCACAGATTACGTGCACCCCAAGCCTGGTACGCAATTGTTTTTTGCTCCTTTTTTGCTCTTTTTTTGTCTTGTGACTTGTGGAAGAGCTTTCGTTCCTGTGTCTGACACTGCACCCATTGATTTTTGGTTTTCGTCCCAACCACCAGCCATCTTCTTGGCAAACAATGCCCTCAGGATTCTCACGCTCGCCACCGCTGCCAGCCTCATCTACTTTAATCTTTCGGATGTTGGCATTACCCATGCTGTGAAGGCACTGTGGAGCCTGTGAGCGTTGACTGCCTCCTTTTAGTTTCGAGCTGTTGTTGTTGTTGTTGTTTTTTTGCTGCTATCGTGTGGCGAGCCCAACAGCGGTTGTGTAACGAGTAAAAAGGCTGTCTTTGAACACCTGGTTTTCAAGAGTAGGCAAACCGTGCGCATCTTCTCAGAGCGGTTGACAGAGCGCTGGATCAAGTCAAAAGAGCATGCTTTATTTTCAAACAGCAAGCGTGATGCCAGAGTGGATGTTGTTTTTCAAGCCTGCGGGGGCCAGACAGCGTCGGCACGAACTCCGACAAAGACTGGAAATCGTGGGACTTTGCCAGCCGTCAGCTCCTGGTAACGCACAATGACGACGCTTCCAATCGGCGGCGGCTTGTTGCGTTGCTGTAAAAGTCGGCCATCAAGCATGGTGAGTCACAATCAGATAAGAAAGCACCCACAAAAAAAACAGTTTTGAAAAGCACCTCGCAACACAAAACCACTCGGATCCTTCACATACCTGGTCCGACAGCCCCGAACCACAATTGAACTGAGTCCCGTCCGCCAAAATGCAGACCAGGGCTCCGAGCCGACCCTGGTGCCTGCCTGAGCCCTGGTTGTGGCCAATCACCTTGGCGTCCGCATCCTCAAAGGACTTGACTTTGAGCAGAGTCATGGAGCGGCGACCCTCGTACATGGAACCGGGCTTGCGCAGCATCAGACCTTCGCCGCCCAGGGCTTCAACGCGCTGCAGCTCCTTCTTGATGTGGTCGTCGCCCTTGCACGGGACGTGGTCGACAATCTCCAAGTACGTGGAGCCGTTTGCGGCCGGCAAGACGACTTGCGTGAGATGCTCGATGCGCTTCTCGAACGGTTTTTTCAGCGAGGGAATGTCGAAAACGAGGTACTTGACACGTTGCCAGTCCGAGGACATGTCGCTGCGACGGACAATGCTGACCGTCTGCTGGAACTTGTTGCGCCCGCACCACAGCTCCCCGTCGAGCGTGCAGTCTGTGGGCAAGCCTTGCGTAAACCACTTGGGTGCATGGAATGTGTTGCCCAGCCTGCTAACAAACTTGGAGCCATCCCAGTACGCGCGCACGCCGTCCCACTTTTCAGAGATAAACCACCCCTTGAAGTCTACCGCAAGGTCGGGAGACCACTTGTGGGCCAGCAGCAAGTCGGGAGCCACCGTGTAGGACGATGTGGGCGGTTTGGACGGGCGCGAGGTGGCCCGTCTTTTGCCAGAGCGCGCATCACCACCGTCGTCGTCGTCGGCATCTCCGCCGGCTTGCTCTGCTTCGGCGAGCCGTGCATCCTCGGCCTCCTGACCGCGCATTGCAATGACATGTTTGCAGGTGCGTGCGTTGATGGCTTTCGACTGGTTGCGCCACGCCGGACAAGTGCACGAGTACACTCCGCCAATCAGCTTGAGAAAGTAGTTGCGCGCGCCAGCACCGGCAATCTCGATCGAGTCGCCTTCCTGCATATCGCGAGGCGCCTGGCGCTCCAGCGACTCTGTCGTTTCAACCACCTTGCTCGCCTGGCCAGCAGCGGCATCGTCAATGTCATCGTCGCTGAACTGGTCCATTTTCAGACGCTTGCGGGCTCCAGCACCTGCGGCGGCGGCGGTTGTTGCTGCAGTTGCGGATGCAGCATCGGGCTTGGTGTCGGCGCCGCCATCGGCTTCATCCTCAGAATGCGCGCGCTTGCCCGAAGAAGCCGACGCTTGCGCTGGAGGCTTGGCGGGGGAGGCCGTCAGCAGCTTGGGATGGCTGAACTGCGCGTTGTGCTTGGCATTGCGGCGGTAGCAAGCCGCACCGTACTGGCACTGCGGTCGGTCGTCGGTTGGCTCGTCGGCAGGTGCTGCTGCTGCGGCAGCTGCAGCGGGCGCGGCACTCGAACTGGACAAAGCAGCCGCTGTCGACGAACTGGCGGTATCGTCGTCCCAGTTATCCAACTGCAAGGACTCGCTGACAAAGGCGTCCGAGCCCGAGCTATGGCCGGCATCGCTGTCGTCCGCATCTGTTGCATCATCTTCAACGTCCGTACCATCGTCGGCGGCAGCAGCAGCAGCAGCAGCAGGTGCATCCACAACCATCGGGGTGGGTGCTGCAGCCGCGGTTGATGTAAGCGGTGCAACAGGTGCAACAGGTGCAGCCGCGGCAGCCGAACTGGTCTTGATTCGCCAGGATGGAAGTATTGCTTGCGGTGGGCAGCATTCTTGCGGTAGCACTGGGCACCAAACGAGCAATGCTCGCGACCGCCATCATCCTCGTCAGCATCCGCAGCGGCAGGCTGCGCCTTGCTAGATTTCGCAGCGGCGGAAGTCGACGCCTTGCTGGTGCTTGCCGATGCTTGCTGCTTGGCCTTCTTGATCGCCTTGGAGATGAGATCGTGGATGAACTCTTCGCTTTCGATGGCAACATCATCACGAAGCAGAGCGCGATCGTGCTTGGACGTGCCTTCGACCGCCGAAATCAGATGCGTGACTGCGCCAGTGACAGTATTCGCAACCCTGCCGCCGTGGCGTTGGATGAGCTTGGTCATAACTTTGCGAGTGACCGACATTGCCCCAGTCAGGCAGAATGTCATGCCTGCAAGTGCCCTGGTGCTCGGATTTCCGTCCTCGTCCTCATTGTCCTGGTTTTCGTCGTCCTCGTCTGCGACGTTGGCACTCGCAGCAGAGCGCTTGTTGTTGTTGGAGCGTCGGCTCTTGGCTGCTGCGGTCTTGCCGGCTGGTCGGCGATCCTCGTCATCGTCATCATCCGCTTCGTCATCGGCGCCATCGTCGTCGTCCTTATCGCCGTCGCCATCATCGCCATCGTCATTGTCGTTGCCTCCACTGCTGGCGCCGTGTCCTCCGGCTGGCGGCTGGGCAACGCGGTATCCGCCTCGCAACTTTTGCTTGAGCATGTCATTCGCATAATCCTCGGCTTCGTCTTTGGTGCTAAACCGCTGCAGAGAGTGAAAACAAAGCAAGACCGGTGACAAGATCACGATTCAACCACATTCAAACCAAAGCCAAATTCAAATGAGTACACTACAAAAGAAAGCGAGGTTGGCAACTCCTGCCAATCTTGTAAGATTGGAAAAGAACACCAAAATTTTGAATTTTGAACTTGATTCTTTGTACCTTGACTTGCTCGACACCGACCGTGCCAACGCGGCCAAAGTGCGCACGCGTCGAAGTCCCTTTGATGGTGATTTGCCAGTACTTGTGCTGGTTTTTCGCGCGGTTGTGGCACTCGAGATACGTGGAACTCGACGACATTGATCCGAACGAAACTGTTTTGTTTGTTTGTTTTGGGAAGAATAAGAAGAAGAGTGAAACAACATCCCGATTTTGCACGCAGTCATTGCGAGATACTGCTTGGTTTGGTGTGCCGTTGAGAACGGGGGTTTATATGAGCAAATACACAGTGGCATTCATCAACGAGAAAAAAAAAACAATCGCAAAAAAGCTCTTTGTTAGAGATCTGGAACCAAGAAGTGTTTGATCGCGCCGTGAAGGAGCTTGACACATCGCATAAACTCAAATCCGTCTCCCTACCAACCACAAAGGACAAGTTGCAGACCATCGACTCGAGGTAAGGTCACGCAAGGATGCAACCCCTTTGCACACTCGTTCCGCAAAACAAGAACTCGAGATCTGAAGACATACCGTGAGACGAGCAAAGTCGATCAGTACTGTGCGATTGGTCATTGGCATTAAACGAACCACGATGCGTAGTGGCTCGTCTCGATGCATCTTTTCCAAAATCACCTGCAACAAAGACAAGAATTCAAGTTAGCCACAAGATCTCCATGCCAATCCCCAAATCAAAACGACAAGTGTACCTGATGCTTTTGAGTGTTGTGTCGCTTGAGAGACAGCTTGGGCAATACGGTTTGGATTTCGGTCAGCAGGTCGTTGAGCGACGCCTTTGCCAGATAGCGAGTGGTTTTGCGGGAAATGAGGGAAGCCTGGGTGCCCTGCGTGCCATAGCCTGGAGTCGAATCTGACGGTTGCGAATTGTTGGGCCCATCGCCAGGGTCGCTGTCACCAATCAGAGCCCATGCTTTGGAGTTGACTTCCGCACTGCCCAAGTCCAAGTCATCGCGAGAATATGCCAGGTGGGTGGAATGGTCCCACGCCACAGTTCGGGTCTCGGGATTTGTGGAAGCCACGTCTGTACGTTCGCGCTTGTGGATGTGCGCTGCTGGCGAGGCGGGACCAGGAGGGCTGAACAGCGGGCGATGGGGCACCTGCTGCGAGAGTTGCTCGGGCTTCCGCACAGGCTGGCTGCCAAAGTGGGAGGGCCGCTTCTTGTGACTGGCAGAGAAAGAGCCCTGCGATGGGTCTGACGACGGCAAATCCAAGCTGTCGTCCAAGTCCAGATCGAGAGCAGCAACGGCGTCGAAACGCTGAGAAAACATGTCGTCGGTGGCCTGACGTGAAACGGGCGTCACTTGCGTGTACCACGGGTGCTGTTTGATGGCTGCGACGGTGATTCGTTTCAAGGGATCGATGCACAGAATGGATTGAATCAACGAGATGACGTCGGTCGGCAGTCGAGTCCACACTCCCACGGTCGTGATGCCGTTGTACCAGTTAACAAAATGTGGGCAAGCAAGCGTCGGCTCGCTCCATGGCAGGGCTGGAGCAGCAGCGTTCAGAGAAAATTATAGCGGAAGTCGAGAACGAGAACATGATGCACAAGAATGCACAAGAATGCACAGGCATGGGACATCAGAACGACAAGTACTCGTGAGAAACAGTGTCAACGAGAGAAAAAGCACCCCCCCCCGACTTCCAGAACAACAAAAAAAAAGTGCGACACGTATTTTTACCTCCAACGAGAAGCGCGACCAGCACGACACCACAAGACCAGACATCAGCGGGAGGCCCTCGATAGGGCACCCCTGCAGCGACCTCGGGCGGAATGTAGGGTGGAGACCCACAGCGTGTCGTGAGGACCCGCTCTGTGCCGTCGTGGCGGAAGAGCGTGGCAAGCCCAAAGTCGCCAATTTTAACATTGCCAACGCCATCTAAAAAGATGTTTTCTGGCTTAATGTCTCGATGAACCACCCCCATCGAGTGGAGATACTCGATGCCAAGCAGGATTTGATGGAAGGTAAACTTGGCACTGGCGGCAGAAATGCCAACTTCGGGATCAATCAAGTGAAACAGCTCGCCGCCAGCAGCATATTCCAAGACGAGATATATGGAGGTGAGTGAGCTGTAGATGTGCTTGAACGAGATGATGTGGCGATGCTTGAGCATGCTGTGCACACCGATCTCCTTGCGCGCTTCTTGCAAGTGCTTGTTCGACATGACCTTCACGGCGACGCGTTCGCCAGTGATCTTGTGGACGCCCAGATGGACTCTACCAGAGCCAAGTGAGCGATCAGAGGTGTACACAGTTTTAGAGTCGGATCTCTTGAATCATCCCTTCGTTCCGTAAAGCGATTGAAACAGATTGAAACAAGCGATCAAAATTTTCCCGCCATTTTTCTTTCGTTGTTTGTTTCATCGATTTCCCCAACCCCCAACACCCCTCCCCTTTTGCACTTCAACACTTTGTCATTTGCTGATGACGCAACCTCTTGACGATGGGCAAAACCCCCGAGTCGGCACCTACTTTGCAAAGGCGCCCTCGCCGAGAAGCTCGCACAGCGTGTAGTCACCCAAGGCGAGGGCTGGGTTTGAGCTCGAGGAGGAGGGCCTGTCGCTCGCAAGCACCGTGGCTGCCGATACTGTTTGTTGCCAGGTGTTGTCCGAGGACATGATGATTCCCTCATCGGGGGCATTGCTGCTGGGCCTGGACGACGCGACCGAGCTGCGAGGCGTGTCATCATCATCATCATCGTCAACGACGCGCCGCCGTTTCGTCCCTTGAATTGGGCTCGCCCCGGGCTTCTGCGGCGTTGCTGGTGAGGCCCCGTTATTTCGATTTGTTTGAACTGTTGGCTGCGACGCTGAAGAGCGCATTGGCCGTGCTGCTGCCTGCATTGCCTGCAATGTAAAATTTGGCGGGAAAACAATTCACGACTGGCGCGGTTTCAGTTTTGAGATTTGAGTCTCGATTTATTGTGTATTGGTTTGAACTCAAAAGTGCATTCAATGGATATTTATGAACTTGACTTTTGCTGTAGCATCTCTTGCAGAAAATCTTTATCGCCGGGAGTGCTTTGAGCGTCGAGCAGACTGCCGTTGGAAGGAATCCTCGCTATCGGATTCCGATTCGCTGCTCGAAACAGCTTTGCGCCGCTGTGAAATACGGAGTGGCGCGGACGCCTGCTCAAAGTCCTCGTCGGTCGAGCCAGCAGCCTGCTCGCTCCGAGATTTCTTGTAGGGCGCAATCTTTTTAGAGAAGGCAGCGGGAGTCGTCGCCAGCTTTGCCTCGTGCGCCTCCTTGACCTGTCTCACCTGAAGCTGTTGCAAGGCCTTCGCGACGCGCTCGAGAAGCGGGACGGAATCCGGTATGGCGACGCGCAGAATGTCGGCTGGCTTTTGCTTGGAACTTGACGCTGCAGCTGGGTCTTCTGGCAGAAACTTTTCGTGCAATGTCGCCCGCACAAGCAGACCTCGTGTCAGTCGAAGCCACATGCCATACACGCTTGCGCGGCGCTTGGTCAGTTCATCCTGCGCGCGGCGGTCTTCGTCCGCGACACATGCATCGACGAGCGTGCGCGCAAACTCGGTGCAAACGACAATGCCACGCAAATCAGGTGTGGCCTTGCCACCGTGAAAGTTAAATCCGACCACAGCTGGTGCGAAATCGATCCCGAGCTGGCGCGCCAATCGTGGGGCGTTGGGGAGTTCGAGATGGACGCATCCTCGTGGGATCATGGATGGTTGGTACAGATCAACGTTTCCGAACGAATTGCAAGGCACACGCCCGCCGACGGCGACTGGCGGGTCGTAGGGCACCGTCTGCCACTCTCCAAAGAGTGGCACCGCTGCACGCTCGTCTGCATCAGCCGCGCCGGCCGACGGTGTGTCATTCTCGTCGTCACTGTCTCGAGCTCGCTTGCCCGAAAGCAATGTGGAGCTGCTGCTGCTGCTGCTGCTGCTACCAGCCCGACTACTATTGGGGTTTGCTTTGGCTTTGACGACCTTCACGGGATGCTCAGAGTCGCGGACGACGCGGGCGTCTTTGAGCCAAGCTTCACGGGTGCGCAGAGTATGGACGTGCGATCGTGGATAGACATTCTGGCCCTGGTAAAGGCCGACTGCATGCTGCTTGCCCAGAGGGTGAATGGCCTGGTACTTGAGTAAATGGCGCTCAAGAGCGTACAAAGGGTGGTTTTTGTAATCCTGCAGCGTGGTTGGCAGCGACTTGGCGTGATCGCTCGTTGATAATTGCGCATCCTCGCGTTGATCGCGCATAGCATCCACGGAACGGTTTAGTAACGGGCTGCGAAGCAAGTCGGCAAACCAGGTACCCGCATCCAGTCGCTGGCGCGACGGGCCCGTCTTTCGCAGCCACTGTGAGGCATAGCGCGCGGTCACGTCTTTGGCACGACCATTCTCCTCGAACGCGAGAACATACTGGAGTGGAGCGGTCGCGTGCCGCTCAAACTCCAGCGGATTGTTAAAGCCGGACGGGCCCGTGTCAATCGGGACCCAGCAATCGAGGTCTGGCAGAAAGACCTCAGACCAAGAGTCCGTGCGACCTTGGTCGACAACGACAGAGCGTTCCGATTCGAGCGGAGGAGCCAGGATAAACCCTCCGCTGCTTTTGACAGAGGACTCTGACGCGGAAAAGGAAGTGGGAGGAGTAATTTGTCCGGCAAGAAGGGAATTCGTTGCTACCGACACGGTTTTGACACGAGCTGGAGCCGGGACGGAGGCGATGATCTGAATGTCGTCGTCGCTGTCAACAACAGTTGCATTGGCCTTCTCCATTGACGCGGTTGTTGTTGAATGCAGTAACGGTGGGTGGGTTTCAGCGAGAGAGGAGAAAGATGGAGTGAGAGTGTGTACGAGCGGTGCTTCCGCTTCCGATGAGCGAGCCGTCGCCGTCGACTTGGCATTTGGGCGCGTTTCTCCAGCAGTCCGAATCGAGTCCAGCTCCTCCAGAGTGGCAAGCACACGATCTCGGACAGTCGCGACAGGGAGCTTCCAAGACATGGGCTGCAACGAGACAACGAGCCGCGCGTCCAGATCGAGTGCTCGAAGCAGAGCGGTAAAGACAATGCTGAGTGCACCGCGCAAGCCTTGTCGTTGTGCAATCGTTTGCAAGAGGGTCTTTTGCAGAATCAAGCGTGTTTCGTCCATGGTTGCTGGGGCAGGTAGAGGCAACTGGGCGCGATGTGGCGGTGGCTGCCGCTGCACCACCCGAAATGCTCCACGATACCACAGAGCAGCGTCTTTTAAAAAGTCGGTATCCCGCCGTTGTGCCAGCAACGACGCCGGAACGACGGACAACACTGCAGCCCTGATTGTCTCGTCGTTGCTGAGCAGGTTGCGCCAAAACGCGTTGGCAAGCAGGCACGCAAGGTGCACTCGGTGCAATATCTTGGCAGTTGCTCTTTCTTGTTGTGCGAGCTGTTTTTGCAGCTGTTCCCTCTCCGTGAGGCGTCTGTTGTTGAAACAAACAAAGGTGCCCGATGAAAAATCAAAGTTGAACGAGCAGAACATAACATTGCGATGGAAGTGGACATGCCGACCTCTTTGCATTCGCCGGGTTCTCCACAAACAAGGACAGTTCGATGTTGCTGGTAATTCTATCGCTTGGAAGTGTGCCTATTGAAGCGCAAAGCCATTGTGAGCTGGTGTGGCCAATTCTGAGGCAAACAATCGCCACAACGATCATCCCGTCGCTGTGCCCGTCCCAGCTTAAACCATCCATCACCAACAACAAACCCAATCCAGTGCACAAAGCCATGTTGTTGCAACCAGCGCGCGCGTCATCATGAAATTTCGCGCGACGGCGATCGCTTCCAGTTTCATCGTGCTCACCTTCGTCCCCTGCGTCTTCGGCTTCGTCTGCATCTTCTGCTTCTTCTGCATCTTGTTCCGCTTGCTCTGAATGCGGGTGGTCGTCCGCCTCTTGAGCCGGTCCGACCTGCTCCCAAAGCTCCTCCTCGTCCTCGTCCTCGTCCTGTTGGTGCAATCCGAGTTCCGCGGCGTCCCCCTCGTCCATTGGCTCGGCTGCATGCTCGTCTTCCATCGTCATTGCACGATCTGCACTCGAGCTTGAACCAGCAGTCCCGTGCTTGTGGTGACCAAAGTACGGTGACCGAACCACCGCCGCCGCATGCGTTTGCGTGCCGGAACGAGCACTTGCTGATCCGCCCTGGTGACTCTCGCTCTGTCCGTGGGTATCAGCAGCATTGTCGGAGGCATCGTCGTCAGAGGTTGGAAAGTCCCGACTCTGCTCGTGAAAGCGGGCTGTCCAATCCATGGTGAGCGCCTCGGCGATTCGAAACAGACAAACGACTGAGCTGCCCCCATTCAATGCTTCATATGTTTGAACAAATGCAGGATCATTGTATCCTCGAGAAGAACAAAGCCACATACACTGCCAACGAAATGAGGCAGAAAAACACGAACAGGCGCGGAAAGCATGGAAACTTCAAAAACAAAAAAAAAAAACACACAATCAAGCTTGACCTTCGCTCATCGCGTCAAGCAGCACTGGGACTCCCAGTTCTTGCAAAAAGGACAACAAGGACGCGGGAGAGAGGCCGATACTCGCAGTGTTGACGAGCGGATGGAAAAAGAGGTGCGAATACTTTTCGGCAAACAAGGAGCGATCCAGAAGAACGCCGCTCACAGTCCGCTCGCCAGCTGGCCGGACAAAGTCTGTCAGCAGGGCCAAGGGAGAGACACAGCCCGGCAGCACGCCAAGAGATTCGAGCAACTCGGCGGGCGTGGTCATCGAGAAGGAGCGGGCTGCATTGAGAACGCGCCGCGCGTGCGGCATGTGAACGGTCGTGTCCTCGTGTGCCACGATGAGGTAGCGTGCGCCACGCTTGTCGCGCACAAACAGATTCTTGCAGTAGCCAAAGTGGGGATTGGCAGTGGCATCGGTGGCGTCGCGGTACGCCTTGCACGCCTCGACGGTATCCAAGGCAGCATGATGGTGCAGCATGAACGCAATGCCTCTGGCGGACAGCTGCTCGGTGATGGTCGTGATGCGGGGATCATTGGGATTGGTAGGAGTGCCAGTGGGTAAAGTGGACAAAGTGGGCAAGTTGTCCAGCAAGGAATCCATTGCCGGGAAATCGGTTGCAGCTTCAGATCCAACGCCAGCGGCAACGGAGGACTCGGACAAGGTCGAGCCAACCTCGCTTGTGGAGCTGGCTGCTGGTGCTGCAAAACCGGTGGTCGTAGTAGGCGGCATTTTCGTTCAGCCGTGATGATTCTTTTTGTTTTTGTTTTTCTCTCAGATTTTTAGGATACTTTGCTCGCGACAACATTTGTTTTGCTGTTGAACGAACAAAAACCAAAAAAGCCAAGGAAGAACAAGAACAAAAAAAAAAAGAGATCACGTCTTGGGTCGAGAAAGGAACGACACAGAGATGGATTGATGTAAGAGTATGTAAAAGTATGGTAGAATTGAGCGAAAGAGAGCTCAGAGCGAAAAGATGGAAAGGCAAAATGACGACATGCAGCCAAAAAAGGGTCAATGAATCACATCTTGGTCGCGATTGGAACGACTCAGAGATTGCTTGATGTCAAAAGGGATTGAAGAAAGATCATTGAATTGAGCGAAAGAAGAGCTCAAAAAGCGGATGGATCAACAGAGAAGTGAAGTGGAAGAAATGACGACAGACAGGATTGCAACAGGATTGCAACATCGCTGTCACCGATTGGAACCAGACACACACGATGAAGCTGCGTGAATAGCTTGCATCGTAAATGAATTGAGAGATGAAAAGAGCAGGGTAAGGCCAGACAAGACGGAGGGGGAGAAAGGCACCGAGATCAACGTTGAAGGAAAACGCTGAGCGTGAAAAACAAAAATTATTGAGCCATTGTTGTTGTTGCTGAGAAAGAAGGAGTGAATCTCAAAAAGGAAGTGGGAAGCTGTCCGTATTTAACGAGTTCGAAAGTGTTCGATGAGGAAATGGTTGCACACAAGATCAACGGGGGGCAAGAGCTGTGGAATTGAAAGGATTTTCTCAGTCGAACCTTTGCTTGTACAGTATTGGTGCAGGTGTATTTGGTTTTTGTTTTCCTATGCTCCTCCCCTCGGTCGCAGCGTCGATCTGATCGAAAGCTTGCCTGACGATCCTGCACGCCACCCCAATCCAAATCTGCAAAACTGAAGAGCGTGCGGTACTGTAGTCGCGTTTTGGTCTCCGTTGCCCTTTTGTTGGTTTGCTTGTTTGCTTGTTTGCTTGTTTGTTTGTTCGTTTTTTTTTTTTTTTTTGCTTGTGCACCACCTCGTGTTGTTGTACTAGAGAGTGCCCTCTTCTTCTTCAACGAGATCAATTCAATGTTCCCTTCAATCACTCGTCCTATTTTGTCCATCCACCTCAGTCTCCTCTTTCCGTCGGTCCCTCCCTTCACCCTCCCATTTTCAACCAAAACAGCACACCTCTCTCGCACACACACACACACACACACACACACAATGCCTGCTACACTGCTCTCAGAGGTGCTCATGAACGAGCTTGCGCGCCGCATCCCCGAAAACCCCGACGTCGTCAAGAAGGTCAACTCGATCTTCCAGTTCAACATTACCAAGGACGGCAAGGAGGTCGCCCAGTGGACGGTCGATCTCAAGACGGGCGCTGGCTCCGTGTCGAAGGGTGCTGCAACTGCGCCCAACTGCACCGTGACGCTGTCCGACGACGACTTTGTTGCGCTCGGCTCGGGCAAGCTCCAGGCTCAGAAGGCCTTCATGAGTGGCAAGCTCAAGGTCAAGGGCAACATTATGCTCGCCACCAAGCTCGAGGGCATCTTCAAGCAGTACTCCAAGGAAGCTGCTGCTGCGATTGCCGCTGCCCAGTCTGGCGCTGCTCCTGCTGCCCCTGCTGCTGCTCCTGCTGCTGCTGGCCCAGCGACTGGATCATCAGCCTCATCAGCCGGTCTTGTCTCCGACGGCTTATTTGCCGAAATTGGTCGCCGCGTCGCCGCCACGCCCGCACTCGTCCAGCAAGTCAACGTTGTGTACCAGTTCAACATCACCAAGGGTGGCAAGGACGCTGCGCAATGGACGATCGACCTCAAGAACGGCGCCGGCTCCGTCACCAAGGCCGCCGCCGCCGCGCCCGGCTGCACCATTACCGTCTCCGACGAAGACTTTGCGGCCCTTGTTGCTGGCACGATCAATCCTCAAAAGGTGCGTATTGGTATTCGTTATTGGTATCGGGGAGGACAGAGGGAGGTGGTTTTGCGAGTCTGTGAGAGTTGCTGTTGAATCAATTTGCACTCACATGCGTTGCTTGTGCTATTGTGCAGGCATTCATGTCTGGGAAGCTCAAGGTCAAGGGCAACGTCACTCTTGCTACCAAGCTCGACAAGGTTCTCCAGGGTGCCAAGGCCAAGCTTTGAAAACACACAAAAAAAAAAAAGCAATCGGCCATGCCATGCTGTTTCTATTCTGTTCCTATGAATGCTCGTCAAAGTGACTGTGTGACTGTGTGTTGTGCACAATGCATCATGGAGTTCAACATTTTTGCACGACGCGAGCATCTGGTCTTTGTTTCTCGTAAATTCATCCATTCCAGTTGTAATTCCCCCCCCCCATGTTTCTTTTCTTTTGCTCCGCTATTCCATATCCATTTGCTAAATAAAACTCAGTCTCTTTCTCTCTCTCTTTCTGGGCGACAGCAATTTGTTCAAATGTCACTTCCACTCAGCCAGAGCGACATTCAGCCAGCAGCCGCAGCCACAGCAGCAGCGACGCCCGCCGCGCCGCAGCAACCCGCGACGTTCTTTGACACAATGCCATACTCGTTCGCAGACATTCCCATTGGCGGTGACTATGGAATTGCAACGCTGCCGTTCCTCAACGCCGTACACGCAACCATTCCGCTCTTTGGTAAAAGCCGCTTACCGCTACGCTGAGCTGTTGTTGTTGTTGTTGTTGTTGTTGTTGTCATTGTCATTGCGCAGTTAGCGAATTTCAGTATCAAGTGCATGCTCGCTCCACATGTTGAGTGGGCTTATTGACTCTTATTGACTTATCAACGCTTTCGTTCCTTGGTGTGCAGATACGCTTGGAATGTTGACATTCTACCCGATCAAAGCCGACATGGCGAATAACATTGAGGTATGCTCCCAAGATGAGGCATCGTCTCTGAGCGCTTGCTGATTTTGGAGGTGGCGGGGAAACATTGCCTGGATTCTCACAATGAACGCATCCGGTTTACCCTGTGTCAAAATCCCCAGCGCCTCCAACTGCGATTCGAACAAGCTCCAGAACGGTGTCTGACGTTGCAGCGAATTGTCGACGCAGAGGTGCGCGCCGGCACGCATCGAAATGCAGAGTCTTGTGCGATTGGACTGCTGTGGCTGAAACGGTACAGAATTTGTTGTTGTTGTACTTGTCGTCTCGATTGTGTGGCTTCACGATTCGTCGAGTGTATGCTTCTCACTGCGAATACTTGAATGGGCTGGAACCTCTTGCGCGCAGAGCCCTCGAGTTTGTGATAGGATTTCTCGACAACATTGGAAAGGGCGAAAAAGTTGTTTCTGTCGCTGCCACCAAAGCATATCAGCAATCTCTTGAGCCATTCTATGGCATGGTGTCTCGAGGCCTATTCAATGTACCCTGCTCTTTGGTGGCTTGCCAAGTTTGACTGCAGAAATGAAAGCACGCTCACTTCTCAACTCCTTTTGGTGTGTTTTCTTTCGTAGGTCGCCTTGCTCTCACTACCAGCGTATTCAACTTTCATGGCACAACTCAGGCGCCGCGATGATGTCACCGATGAGCAAATTATTGCCGCCATCTGCGACTTTTGCGACCAGATGCGTGACTTTGTGTTGATTCTGCAAAAGTTTACCATCGACAAGGGAATTGACACTCCCCGTCAGACTTGACGAAAAGCCCGTTGGTTGGAATTTTGCTTTGTTTCGCATTAGTTATCGTTGGTGTAAAGGTTTGCTTTGTTTGTTTGTAGATAGTTTTGTTGTCAACTGTCAAGATTTTTGGCTTGGGGCTACGTTTTTTTTTCGTCTTTTTCTGTTCAAATCGCTGGTCGTCGACAAACATTCACACTATCACATTGTCCGGAGCCCAAACAATCGAAATTTGACAGAGAAATCAACCCTGAAATGAAGCCCTTGTCGCATACAAATACAAAAAAAGCAAAATAACAAACAGCCCTGATAGCTACAACCACAACCCAGCATTTCCCTGCTCAGCATAGGCTGGAGGTGCCATCATACCCATATCGCTGTGTTGCTGGGCAAGCTCGAGGATGCGCCCAGCATTGAGCCACTCTGACGTTGTTCGCAGCTCGCCCAGCGACAGCTCTGGCGGCTGCAAGCTCGCCGTTGGGCCTGTGGAGATGGTCACTTCCGAAAAGAATGCGCCGTTCATGTTGCCTGGAATGTAGCCCGTTCTTCGTGTCGAGTAGGACGAGGAGCGAGCGTGGGCTAGCATGATGCTTCCACTGGTAACCGCCGTCGCTGCGGACGATTCAAAGCTCTCGTAGTCGCCGTAATTGCTGTATCGGGTGGCCTCCTGGTACAGTTGCTGCTGGTGCATGGCCGCGGACGGCCGTGGCGAGGCCGGCACAACGTCGATCGCATCAAACTCGGAATCGTCAATCCCGAGCGGGCCAGACCGGACGGGTGTTGTGGGCTCGAACAACGCCGTGGAGGGTGGGAGCGTCAACCGATGTCCGTGTCGCTCGCTGTGAAGCAGCAGCTGGTTTCGCAGCAACGAGCGAGCTGCTGGATTCCGCTGCCCGCTGGAGCTGGATGATGATGATGAGGATGATGCCTCGGGTTGCTCAGCGACGTACGAAATCTGAGAGTACTCGACAATCCCCGGCAACGACGCCTCGTCCGACAGCGCTTGCTGCAGGAGCAGATTCTGTGCATCCGTCGGAGCCGCAGCTGCCTGACTCAGATGGGCGACTGCAACATGGTTGGCCTCCGCCACGGCCTGGATCAATGTCAAGTGGGCCTCGGGATGACTCTGCTGGAGCGCGAGATGGTGCTCCTGCTCTGCGGCTGCCAGCACATGCAGCGCGTCCCGCTGGTCGTCATTCTGTAGGACGTGGCCGGCGTATTGATCTGCCATCAGCAAGCCATTGTGTGGTAATTGGGCCTCCTGTAGTTGTAGTTGGGACTGTTCAGCAGCAGCAGCAGCAGCAGCAGCAGCGTCCAGCCGCCACCGCTTGGGCGAAGGGGGATAGTCCGCAGCAGTCCTCCTGTCCAAGCTCGCTCCTGCTTCTCTTCGTCCTCCAGATGCTATTGCTGCCGCGTGGTCACTCAGCTGCGGGTGCTGCTGCAGCAGGGCTTCGAGGGAGAGCGTCAGTTCGGCCTTGAGACGCGCGAGCTGCTCGACCGCTTGGACGGCGTCCTCCGCTGCTGCTGCATCCTGCTGTTGCTGCTGCTCTTGTTCTATCTTCTGAAGGTAGAAGTGCAGGTCGCTGTTGACGCGGTCGAGCTCGCGCTGCTTGTCTCGGAGCACAGCAACAGCGGCGGTCAATTCACAGTCCGCATCATCATCCTCCGACGCACTGCGCTTGACTCTGCCGCCGCCGCCACCGCCACCGCCGCCGCCGTTGGGTGAGACAGACATGGATGAGATTGTTGTGAGTTGTTTTTTTGCGTGCTTGTTGAAGTCTGAGTTTGGAAGCAGCGAACAACAATAAAAAAAATAAAAAATAAAACCTCAAACCAAAAAAAGTGCGGTTTTTGGTTGTCACAAAAATGGGGGAAAAAAACTGTAAAAATCAACAATGAGAAGATCACCAAAACAACAATAACAACAATAACAACAACAATAACAACAATAACAACAACAACAACAACAACAACAACAACAACAACAACAACAACAACAACAACAACAACAGTCGAAGGGAAGTGAATTCGATGAAGAGAGCTACAAACGACTCAAACGACTTGCTCGAAAGCAGGCAAAGAGAAAAAGCGCCTGCTGGGGACCTAGGCAGAACGTGCAGTCTCGTCCGAGCGCAAAAAGCTGTCAAACCCGTGCGTGCGCATGTCCTTCCACTGAAGCCAGACATAAAAAAAAAGGCGAATGTTGCAAACAGTCAGAATCTCGACACTTGAAACAAAAAAAACCAGTACAGCATGCTCGAACAAAGCCAAAACTGTTGGTGTGGGCATGGTTACCGTCTCTTCAGGATCATCCAGCGTTTGCCGCAAGTAAAACTCAAACAGCCCCTCTTGAAGCAAGTGTCCACGAGCGTTGCAGGTAAAGTTTTGCCGGATGGCTCGCCAGAACTGATCTGTAACGTGTTGCTGGTTTGTGGCAAACACAAAGCTGTCCAGCTCTTGTCTACGAGGGCAATCCAGAAGGGTGTGAGCACCAAGTAGCAACTCGACAAGCGACAAATGGCTCAGCGCAACTCACCGGTTCCATGCGTGGTCTCCGTCTCGGTCGAAGCGTGCAAAGATACGCGTTAGGACTTCTTGCAAATCCTCGCTAAGATAGTCGTCGACAATAAGGGCAACATGGTCTCCAAAAGAGCAAACACGCAAAGTCAGACGTTTTTGCTCGAACCAAGCCACCTAGCAGAAACCGGCTCCCTTACCATCTGTTTCTGTCTGCTTTTCAATCAATGATAGCACTTGCTTTTTGAGCTCTGTTGGCGTTTTTGCATCACGCAGCAAGACGCGTTAGATCCATTCAAAATTCAACGTCAAGCGTCCAAAAAACAACCACCAAACCTCTCACCTCGCACGGGCTCGAAATCTGCATCCACCTCTTCGCAAAATTCGATGAAACGCATGGCTGGGTGTACACGCGAGAAGATGGAACGTCGGTGCATGTTCCGGAACGAGTTCCAGCACGCGCATGAGATTTGCAGCAATCTTGTCGAGCTTTGGCTCGATATCGCTGGCGTCCTTTTCACATTCGCGCAGAAGCCCTTCTGCTTCGACAAACAGCGGCTGTGCAATCTCGGCTGTGCAATCTCGGCGTTTGCCACCAGCATTGAACTCGAGGCGGGATTCGCATGCAGCGTGATGACTTGGGTCGTCTCGTCCTCGGCGGCCGCGCTCTTCCCAGCAGCCCCTGCAGTCCCGGCAGTCGCGGCGGTGCTTGCAGATGCCTGTGCGCTCGTTGATGCACCATCGCTGCTGCCGGCGGGTCGCTCGCTTCTGGTCAACGCCGACCTGGCGTCCACCGCCACGAGGTCCGTTGCCCTGCTGTCCTGCTGTTGGATCTGGCGCTCAATGAAGGCGCCCTTCCACCCGCCCTGTGGGACGAATGCCGGCAGCTCAAAGCCCAGGTTGTTGTTGAGGATGGCAATGTACTCGTTGACGTTGCCGTAGCTCGCAGTGTAGCGCGACACCCACAGCGTCGAAGTCTCGTCCACCAGCTTGCTCAGCCCGCGACTGCTCAGTCGCAGCTGCTGCAGGTCCGAGGGGGACAGAAACGAGAGCACCGTCGACTGGATGTCGCTTGGCAGTTGCGTCAGCACCTCAATCGCATTGATCGGTGTTGTTGTCATTGTTTGCAAAACGAGGAGGTTTGTGAAAATCGAAATCTGTGAAAATCTGAGAAAACCTGTCAAAAAAACGTCAAAAAGGCAGACTGATCGGATTGCATTGCGTACTGCACTGTACTTGCAATTGTACTGTTCTGCACCTTTTTGATGAGATTACTTTTGATTGATCTGAGATGGAAGCACTGATCTGAGAGCTTTTTGCTGCTGTTCCAATTCAGCTTCAGCTTTGCTTCTTTTTCAACCATTTCTTCCTGTTTCATTTTCTTCTTTTCATTCATTCATTTTCTTCCTTTTTCTTAGTCACTTGCAAGCTGAGCAATCTCTCTCCACTTTTGTGCTGCTCTGGTGACGACAAACACAATGAGTGACAATGCTGGCTCAGTGGTGCCAGTCCATATCCACTCGTCCACGTCCAACCCGACCTCCGCCGGCAATGGCAGTGTTGGCACGAGTGCCTCAACTGCCACCACTGCTGCGACGATGGCAGGCTCGGCGAGTGCGTCTCCGACCGGCAGCCGAGCAGCAGCCGACTTGGCTTCTTCCCCAACCGCCGCCTCCGCTTCGCCCTCGACATCCACTGCTGCTGCTGCTGCCGCCGCGGGATCAGCCGGACTGGGAGTCTCGCACAGTGCCATTCCGCAGGCGATGCAACACGCGAACGCAGGCGCATCTGCGGCAGGATCCTCGCCAGCAACCACCGTTACTGCCGTTACTGTGCCTGGAACCGCACCAGGATCGAGCTCGGCGGTGCTTGCCACGGGCAATCAAGCGAATGCATCGTCTTCATTGGGCCATTCGAATGTGAATGTTGGCGCATCGGGAAGTGCTGCCGGAAACGCATCAGCAACCTCATCGAACTTGCACTCTGCTGTTTCTGCTGCTACTACTACGACTCCTGGAGGTCCTGCCATCCAAAGCAAGACAGTCAGCTTCAAGACGCAGCCACCACAAGTACCAACTCCACCAAGCGAACCGCGCCCGGATCCCCACGCCGGAGTCATGTGGAAGAAGCGCCGATGGCCGCAGATTGGCTGGCACAAGCGATTCTTTGTGCTCGATGAGGGCGTTCTGACATATTCGCGATCACTGAGCGACATCCAACGCGGAAAGACGAACGGTGCGGTGGACGTTGTCAATGCGGCCATCTCGGTTCTCGCCTCCAAGCACTGCTTTGACATTGATGCTGAAAACTCAATCATCCACATTCAGGCCTTTACTGGGCACGACTTTGCGCGGTGGTTGGCTGCGCTCAAGCTGCACAAGACCTACTATGCATCCCATGCCAATCGCGACCGGCGCGCGCTACACCAGACGCCGAACGTCACGATCGGTGGTCATTCGAGTGGCGCTGCAGCTGGCCCCACATTTGCTCTCGATGGCGTCACCACCTCGCATTCCTCGACAGACGGCGGTGATCTTCGGTTAAACCTGGCTGAAGACGCCGACATTACAAGGATTCGGGACAAGATTGGCACTCTGACGTCGATTCTCGAATGGCTGACTGCGCAGGTCACGGAACCCGATGCTCATGCGACCCACCACCATGGGGAAGATTCTGACAGCGGCAGCAATGATCCCGATGCCCATCACCTCCCGCACGCTCACGGCGTGGCAGCGACGACAACAACGACGCCAGCGACTGCCGATGCTGCTGCTGCTGCTGCTGCTGCTGCTGCTACTGCCCATCATTCTGCCACGCCGACTGGCGGTGCTGGGCCTGCGCCAGTACTCCGATCTCGCAGCTCTGATCACATCGTCGTTCCTGTTTCAGAGTATGCGCACTCTGCTCCCTCCTCGCCTGCACTCAACATGCACGCTCATCCCAGTTCGTCGTCGTCGCTGTACCCCTTCCGCCTTGGACGAGCGAAGAGCATCACGTCGTTCCGTCGTAACAAGGACAAGGACGACATGCGTGATGGCAAGGAGCCCAAGGAGCCCAAGGAGCCGAAAAAATCGCGCAAGGAGCGCAAGCTCGAATCCAAGCTCAAACAACAGCAACGCCTGATGAACCCGTCCGTCTCCTCTCCCAGCATTTCTAGTCCCATGTCGGGGATTAGCACTCCGATTGCAAACCCGGTGGTTTCTGCGCCGCCCACGATTGGACTGCCTCCCGGAGAACAGCTGTCGGCCTTCTTGCTGAACGCCGCTGCGCTGCTCGACTCGCTGACCACTGCGACCGACGATGTGGCCAACGAGCAACTCAAGAGCCACATCGAGCTGCAGCGGTTGCAACTCGAAAAGGCGCAGGCGGTGAGCGAGATGAACGCCATGCGCGCAACGCTGACCGAGTTTGCCACCGAAAACGCCAATCTCCAGGCACGCCTGCGTCTCATCCACGAACAGGCTACGCTTGGTATCTCCGCCTCGCCCTCGAGCGATCCAGCTGTGGCTCTCGAGGAACGTCTGGAGAAGCACCGACGCGCACAAGGGTTGGTCGTTGGTGTGCCGTCGTCTGGCTCGAGTAGTTTGTTGGCGGCGTCGATGGGATCTCGATCTCGCTCTACTTCCTCTCACAACATGGACCTTGATCCTTCTTCGGCCACTGCAGGCGGGCCGCGACACGCAGGGCTGCTTGGCGCGCCGTTGGTTCGGCGGGGCTCGATTGCTTCCCACACGTCGGATCGGTTCTTTGATGCTCCCGAAGTTCTGATTGTTAGTAGCGACGAGGACGATGAGGACGACGTTGTGCACGATTCCGATGAAGGCAGCTTTGGCAGCGACGAGGAAGACGACGACGACCTCGATGCGGACGCCAACCCAGCGGGCGGCTCTTCTGGTGCTCGCCTGGTCAAGACCGACTCGCTCAATAGCATCTCGCGTGCAGGGCGACGGTTTGAACGCTTCCAAGACTTGGAGGTTGTCGATGCGGACTTGTCTCTCGTCAGCAGCGTTTCGTCTCCAGCCAAGCGGTTTACTCGAGGCACGCTCTCGAAAACCCACTCGGAAGACCGACCATCCATCGCTCCCAAGGGCGGGCCATCGACACTTCACGCATCAATCATGGGGTCCAGCGCGTCGTCCTTGCCGAGCGATGAGGGCACGGTCGTGTCTCAGGCCAAAATCACCTTCCCCTACGCGGTCACGACGCCGTACCGCGTGCGTCTTCCCGTGCCTCAGCCTCAGGGCGATGTGAGCCTCTGGAGCGTGCTTAAAAAGAATATTGGCAAGGATCTCTCCCGTGTGTCTTTGCCCGTGACACTGAACGAACCCCTGAGCGCGCTTCAGCGCCTCTGCGAGCAGGTACTGCGTTCGAAAATGTGTGCTTTTGTGGCGGGGTTTTTGTTTGTTTTTTATTTGTTTTTGTATTGTGTGTGTGTGTGTGTGTGTGTGTGTGTGTGTGTGTGTCTGTTTCTGGCTTTTGTGGCTCTGCTTGTCTTGTTTTAGTTTCTCTCACTTCTCTCCGGCCTTTTGTGTTCCTGCTGCTGTTGTCTCGTAGATGGAGTATGCAGAGCTGCTTGATCGTGCAGCAGCGTTGGACGACCCCGTTGATCGCATGCTGCATGTGGCTGCCTTTGCCGTCTCTGGCTACGCGCCTTCGCTCAGCCGTTCGGGCAAGAAGCCTTTCAACCCGGTGCTTGGAGAAACCTTTGAGCTGGTTCGCGCTGACAAGGGCTATGTGGCTGCCTTTGCCGTCTCTGGCTACGCGCCTTCGCTCAGCCGTTCGGGCAAGAAGCCTTTCAACCCGGTGCTTGGAGAAACCTTTGAGCTGGTTCGCGCTGACAAGGGCTATCGTTTCATGGCCGAGCAGGTACAGTGCTTCATTTATGCTTTCGCCCCTTTTTCTCTTCAAACTTGAATTTTTGCAAACAAAAAAAAATGGCTCATCTACGGTACTTTCGTTTCTTTTTTTTCCCATTTTGTTTTTCCTGTGTAGGTGAGTCACCATCCACCAGTCAGCGCATGCTACGCAGAGTCCGACAATTACCAGTTCTGGCAGGCCGCCAGTATCAAAAACAAGTTCTGGGGCAAGTCGATGGAAATCTTCCCCCATGGTGTGCTGCACGTGAGCATTCCAGCGCGGAACGACCACTACACTTGGAAGAAGGTCACGACGTGCGTGCATAACATTGTTTCTGGCCAGAAGTGGTCGGATCACTACGGCGAAATGGTGATTTCGAATGCGGCGCACGACCTCGAGTGTCGCCTCAATTTTGTCAAATCGGGGTACTTTGGCTCCCCGACGCGCGAAGTCATTGGAAAAGTCGTGCAAGTGTCGTCCGGCCGTGTCTTGGCCGAGCTGCAAGGATGCTGGCATCAATCTCTCTACGCGCACAAAGGGGGCGCAAACACGGCGAACGGCAAGCAGCCGCAGCAGGGAACTTGCATTTGGAGCGTGCACCCACTGCCGCCAAACAACGATCAGTACTATGGGTTTACGACATTCGCGCTGACTCTGAACGAGTCGCGTGAGGGCGAGCACTATCCGGAAACAGACACGCGTCTGCGCCCAGACCAGCGGATGCTCGAACAAGGGGACGTCGACCTAGCTGAGAAGGAAAAGCAGCGGATTGAGAACCTGCACCGCGACATGCGCAAGCAACGTGAAAAGACCGGTGATCACTGGAGCCCCCGATTCTTCATGAACGACCACGCTCTTGACCACGACCACGAGCACAAGGGCGACACCGACGAGGACTTTGAGTGGAAGTACAACGGAAAGTACTGGGACACCCGCACCACCGCGTCGCCCAAGCTCTGGTGATTTTGTCAAAAGCCCCAGAATGGCAATCATGTGTACTAGATTTTGTGTTTTTTTGTTTTGTTCAGTGTCTGAATTTTGTTGCAATGATGACTTTTTTTCTTTTGATCAATCCTTTTTTCTTTTCTTGTTCTTTTTTTCCGTTTATTGTTACTTTCCAAGAGTTTCATTGATCTCGATCGGCCCGAACCATGGACGAACTGTTCGATGACACTTGCCTGGCAATGTCCAGTTCAGAAGCGAGCTTCAAGAGCGGGGATCTGGACGACGAGCCCGACGCAGACCTGCAGGCGTACTTGGCAACGAGCCATGACAATGCCGACGACGACGACGACGACGAAGGCGAGCAGAGCTCTGCCGCCGCACCTTCTGGACCAACAGTGGTGATCAAGCAAGGCTGGTACGGAATCGAATGGAGCAATGATGCAGGACTTGCACTCGATGGGGGCGGGGGCTCACTGTCGCGCCCAGATCAGCGGACTTGCTGCGAAATTGCAATTGTCCCCAGTCAGTCCTCGAGATTGTCAACCTCACGTTTGGTCCCTGGTTTGGCTGCGCATGAATTGATGTTGAATATGGTGGGGGCTGGTGTGGTATTAGGTGTTGGAAGGAATCTGGAGGCGCAATGGGCGCCAACTTGTTTGGAGGCAAATGGCAACGCCGATGGTTTGTCCTCTATTCCAACCACACCATCAATTACTTTAAGGCTCAGGTATGGGCTTGTCGGATGAATGAGCTTTGTTACAGACTGTTGTGTATGGTGTTCGCAACGAGAAGCGACGCGAGAAGCGATGGGAAAACCAATCATCCGACTCACCCAAGCACCGGGTTCTCAGTCGGACAAACATCCAGCTGGAACAATCCACTTGACTCCAAGCCACATTACCAACGATCTGAAGGATCCCAAGCGCCCGCGCGCGTTTGGCTTTACAGTGGGGCCGCAGGTCGTGCACGCGGCTGTTCGAATTTACTATATTGCCGCAGGTGTGGTTTTGTGTGTCGATGTTTTTTGAACGTGTGCCGAGTGAAAGTCTGCAGCTCATACCCGAAAAATGCCCCTCCCACTCCGGATCCTGACAGAGTCTGCAGCAGAGTGCACCTCTTGGCAGACGGAAATTCGAGCCGCCATTGCAACCTGCTCTGATGCAACGACGCTGCCGCAACTCTTGACAAGCGGCTTGGATACACCTGCCAGCTGGCGCCTGCAGTGCTGGGAGTATCTCAAGCAGGTAATCGGTGCCAAGACTTGGTGCAATCACGACGTCAAGAACGGCGTGACTATTGCACGGATGGACTTTTCCAAGAATGGCCATGTCAGTGTGCGCCTTGAAGGGTCGATTGCCGTCCAGCCCGACATTTGCTTTGACTTTTTGCGACAAGCCTTGGATCGCGGAGGTGCATGCGACTACCCGTTTCGCTCGTTGCGAGAAGTGCAAAGCACTCGCGACGCACCTGAGGCCAGCGTGCTACAAGGCCACTTTGCGATTCCGACAATCGGGCTGCGCTCAATCACTGTCGTGCGCTCGTGGCTGAGGCCAGGCACTGTGGGCACGAGTGACTCGCTCTTCGGCGGCATGTTGCTCGTCACTCTGCCGGACGCGAATGCGTCCGATCCTTCCTCGCCGCCACCCTCACCATCATCAGCTAAAGGCAAAGGCAAGGCGGGAAAGCCGTTTAGTATTTCGGTTCAGCCTTCCGGACTGGTTCTGTATGCCATCCCTCCCATTCCGGATCGGAAGAACCAATATGGGGCCCATACGCGTGTGGTTGTGTCGATGACTCTGGATCTTGGGGGTCGATTACAGACTCTGCTCAAGGCTACGTAAGATGATTTTTTTTTTGTTTCAGAGCTTGCAGTTGCTGTTGGTGGAGAGCTTTGTGATTTGAATATCATGTGCGCTGATCTGTTGCGTGATGTTTGTCCAAAACAGGTATCGGACGGGAATATTGAAGATTCCAATTCGACACGAGTTTCATCGCTTGAAGAATTTGATTGAAGAATCCGTTGGTGCATAGATTCGAGTTGGTTGTTTTGTTTTGTTTTGTTTCTGTTAATATTTGCGAGTGAATCGTGTGCTGTGGCTGGTATTTTCCATTGAATGAAATGATTCATTCCACTCGTGCTGTCACTGAAATGAATTGATACTGCAAGTTCTGTGGAGTTGTCGACATGATTCCACTTACTTGGATGGTTGTTTGAAGTTTCTAATGCTCTGTTGATGGCTGGGTCGTGCTGTTGATGGCATGGATGGAGAGATCGGTGGCGATGGCGAGCTTCCAAAGTGGTCGAGTTGCCGATTTCTCACACAAACCCCGATACTTCTTGTCGTGCCAAACACATTGCTTTGTGATGCAAAAATGATTTGTAATACTTGTTGCGCATCCGCGGGTTGAATACTCTGAGCAGGCACCTGGAAGAGGCAATGTCCCACCCGCCGAGTTTTGGTGAGGCTCATGTGACTGAGAACTAGGTTTGACCTCTCGCCGTGCAACAGAAAATAATTCTGGTGTTATATTGTCATTGCACCAGCTCGTGCGTTGCTTGATGTGCTTGGTACGTCAAAATTCAACTGTAAAAGCAAAAATTTAAAACCAGCAACCAAAAAAACGCAAAAACCTGAAACTTGGTCGCTGACACAGTGGAAAACTCGACCTGTTCCCTTCCAATGAACATCTAGTCGATATTCCATTATCAGCATCTTGGATGTGCTGTTTGACGAGAGGATTCGGCCGGCGGTGGAGCACGATGAAGGAAACCCCCGAAATTGGTCAAACGCGAGCGGATTTGTTGTCATCTATTGATTTTGGCAGACGTCAGAGACCACGTAAGCAATTTTTATTGAACGAGTCACTTGATCAAAGTGCATCTAGGCAAAGTACAGTTCTCTCTCTCTCTCTCTCTTTTGCTTCAGTGTTGACGCAGTAAAATGATTGAATCACACATCGTTACGTAACTTGGCGCCAACATTGAAAAGCCCGCCTTTTCCCGCCACCGGTCTTCTGCATTCAGTCCTCTTCTTCTCTTCCTGTTGGTGAACACAGTCGCTGCTGGCTTCTCGATTCGTCAGCGTCATCCTGTACCAAAACCCACCCCCCAAATGCTACACGTCAAGAACTCTGCCGCTCGGCGCGCTGGTGCCGCGACGGCCCACGCAGCCTTCCTCAGCGCCCCTGCCACGGCGACGGCCACGTCGTCGTCTGGAAAGCCATTCAAGCACGCGTCCGATGCCGATGAGCAAGAGCACGGCGCCCAGGCCCGTCGCGAGAACGCACAGGTCGCTCAGCGCTTCCAACTCAAGCAGCTGCTGACTGCGCTGGCGAACGCCGAGGGCGGCGGGACGAGCATGATCTCGCTCTTCATTCCGCCAGGCGAGCAGATGCACCGCGTTGCGCACATGCTCAACGAGGAGCTTGCCACGGCCAGCAACATTCGCAGCCGCATCAACCGCCTCGCCGTGGAGGAAGCCATCCGAATGTGCCTCCACCGCGTCCGACTCATGCGCACCCCACCGCCCAACGGCATGGCCATCTTTGCCGGCCAGATCCATTCTGGCATCGTCCTGACACCCGCCATGGCTGCCGTGTTGCTCGACGGTGGTCGGTCGACTGGCGAGGGTGCGTTGGATGCTTCCGCCAACTCGAGCGCCGCCTCCTCGTCTGCTTCTGCTTCTGCTGCTGCTGCTGCTCCTGGAGCCGAGGGCAACAGCAACGAAAACGGCCTCACCCTGCATCGCGTGTCCTTTGCAGTCGAGCCGCTCAAGCCCCTGACCAACCGCGTGTACCTGTGCGACAAGCGTTTCCACGTCGAGACGCTGCTCGATCACCTGGAAGATCGTCGCAAGTTTGGCGCCGTTGTGATTGACGGCCACGGCACCACGTTTGCTGTCATTCGCGATTCCAAGGCCGAAATTCTCCAGCGAGTCGACACTCACCTCCCGCGCAAGCACAACAAGGGCGGTCAGTCTTCCAACCGCTTCGCCCGGCTGCGTCTTTGACGCACGCTTGCATTATGTGCGCCGCATTGCCGCCTTATGTGTCCAAACCTTCATCACTGGCGACGGCACTGCCCTGAATGTGAATGGTCTCATTTTGGCGGGCGCGGCCGACCTCAAGCGCGACCTGTACGCTCAGCTGGACCAACGTCTCGTCCCTGCAGTCCTGAAGCTCATCGACACGAGCTATGGCGGTCGTGCTGGGCTCAACCAAGCGATGGCCGAGGCGCAGGACGTGATGAGCGGGCTTGCTCTACAGCAGGAAATGGCTGCCGTGCAGCGCTTCTTTGATCAGGTGGCCAACGACGAGTCGATGGTTTGCTTTGGTGGGCTGGATACCATCCGCGCGATCGAAGCGGGTGCCGTTGAGCTCGTCCTCCTGCACGAAGACTTGCACCAAGCCCGCCGCACGCTCGTGTCCTCCCTATCGAGAACGGTGCATGTCGAGATTATTCCCGAGCCTGCCCCCAGCCAGCCTCCGCACCCTCTGCCCCGCTGTGAGCCATCCGCAATTCCTCCGCCACCCGCGGACGGTGCTGCTCCTCGGAGCGGAGCTGCCGAGCGCTGGGAAGTGGTTGCTGTCGAACCACTGGTGCCGCTTCTGCTCAACCTCGCCCGCGTGAATGGCGCGGCTGTGACGCTCATTCCAGGCTCGAGCTCGCTGGGCATGCAGTTTGTTCGTGGATTTGGCGGTGTTGGCGGCATGCTTCGCTTCCCCATCTTCCGCGAAGACGGCAGCCACAGTGCTGCCGCCGTCGATTCTGACGTCGAAGAGGACGATCTGATTGACATTGACGAGTACGAGTCCTTGATGAACTAAAGAGTGACTTGACGAGTCCTTGGTGAACCAAGAAAAAGAGTGACCCAAATGAAGGGTGGGGAGGCGCGCGTTTCGTCCTTTTTGAACTGTTTCTGTATTTTTTTTGTTTCTTGTGCAGTCCTATGTTCTAAGATCACTTCAAAATGTTGTCGAAGAGTACTATGACTTGGGTAGGTCTGATCGGTGGGAATGCAAACCACTCTGTTGTTTCCCCTTTCAACAATCAACAAAATTTTGCACTGAAAATAATCCTGATTTTTCCAAACTTCCTCAATGAGGAACAGCCATCAGAATGGCTGCCTCATAGACCTGCGTGTGTCAGGGTAGAGAGCATCGAGTCAGTCTTTGTTTGATTGCTGAAAATGCTGACATACCAGAGTATGTCTGAGAGCCAGCGCGAGCTGTATGACAAAGTCAAGAATGAGCGTGGATGGCTTCAGTAAGAGAAGCGCTCGAGTTGATTGGAACACAGTGTTGACAGAGCGTGTGTGTGCTGACGAGAATGGAGGAAACAGTTTGGAGAGCAATCAGATTGGCGATGTTGGAGCACAAGTGGTTGCTGAGGCACTCAAAGTGAACACGACAGTGACGCACCTCGAGTAAGTCATCTCAATTTCACTGACGCATGGAAGTGGGTGATCAAGTAGAGACAGCAAGAGCGGCTCACTGATGGAGGCGATATGGACAGATTGGGTCAGAATCACATTAGCGACGTTGGAGCGCGCGCGATTGCTGAGACACTCAAAGTGAACAAGACGGTGGCCGAGGTTACGTGAGTCTCGTTTGAACTGATGCATGTGAGTGGTGATTGCAAGAGATGACATTGAGAGTGCTCACTGATGGAGAGGGACGGGCAGTTTGAGCTGGAATCAGACTGGCGATGCGGGAGCGCGGGCGATTGCTGAGACACTGAAAGTGAACACGACGCTGACTTGGCTCAAGTAAGTCTCCCACTTTGACTGGTGTATGTGAGTGGGTGATTTCAGCAGCGGAAATCCAAAGTTCTCACTGATGCATGGGATGAACAGTTTGAGCTCGACTCAGCTTGGCGATGCTGGAGCGCGGGCGATTGCTGAGACACTCAAAGTGAACACGACGCTGGAATATCTCTAGTAAGGCATCTCACTTGTACTGATGAATGTGAGTGTGTCATCCGGCAGAGCATTCAAAATCCTCACTGGCTTGGGGATTTGCACAGTCTGAGTCGCAATCGAATTGGCGATGCTGGAGCGCAGGCGATCGCTGAGGCTGTCAAAGTGAACACGAACCTGATTTGGATCCGGTAAGCCATCTCACTTTTACTGATGCATGTGAGGGATTCATAAAAATTCCGATTGCTCACTGATGGAGGGGATGGGCAGTCTGAATACGAATCGGATTGGCGATGCAGGAGCACAAGCGATTGCAGCAGCACTCGGAGAGAACAAGACGATGACTGAGCTGCAGTAAGTGCTTACATTGAGCCAGCATCATTCAGACCTTGCTACGTTGTCAACCTGCTCACACTTTGAACGGCAGTCTAGGGAGAAATTGCATTGGCAAAGTTGGCGTTCAAGCGCTTCGTGAGGCACGCAAAGTCAACGGCATTCTGACTGAGCTTGAGTAGGTTGCTTGTTCTTGCCAATGAGAGCCATTGATGCTCCGTCCATGTTCCTCGAACCAATGCTCAATAGAACGGCCCTTCTGATGGTTCCTTTATCTTTTGCTTGTTCATTGCACAGCATCCAGGGCCAGATAAACCCGCTTGCCTTCTCCTTGCTTCCACGACTGGCAACCTGTGAAGACTGGCAGAGAGTGTTTCACCTGCTGACAGGCCGACACGAGCTGGAGAATCAGCCTGCACTTCTCCCTGCACTACCAGCCGAGATTGCCGAGCTCGTTATGGACAAAGCGGAGTACTTGCAAGGCGTGCAGCACATTCACCAAGAGTGGTCTAGGGAAGGGTACAATCAGATCGATTTTCTGAAACTTACAATGCCTCGAAGCAGCGATGGAAATTCAATCCGAGTGAAAGCGATTCAAGTCCTTCGTGAACAGTCCGAAGCCAAATCGGGCCGTTTCGATCTGATTGTTCGAGACGAGCAAGGTGCTGTTCGATACGTATGGGCTGCAGAAGCGCTTGTCGTCGATTCGAACATTCAGCTGGTGACAATTTCGCCAACAGACCATCCTGTCATCCGCCAACTGCGCGCGGGTTGGGAGGTTGAAGTTCCACTCAGTCAGTATTGCAGTTTTGTGCGATTTGCGTCGCTCTCTGTCGGGTATATCGAACGACAATGTTAGGGATTCAGATCTGTGCGCTGTTGCACTGACCCACCTCGACTGTGCATACATTGGATGTTTTGAATTTTCGAGCAATTTGTTGTGCCCACGCTTTTGTCTGCGATGGTTTTGTTGCAACAAATAGAACTGCTTTCTGCGTAGCTACAATTCAAGTACGAAGTGCCAAAAACTCAGCCTCCATGCTTTCTCCGATCCTTTGATATTCGCACATTTCACTTTTTTTTTTTTTTTCTCCATTTGCTGTTTCGTGCTTTATTCTCTCAAATGAGCAGCACCAGCGAAATCGAACGCCTGGTGGCCGAGCTCCCGCCCGTCGACTTGAGCTCCATGAACGAGCAGCAACGCGCTGCCGTGACTGCACCCGGCGGCGTGGTGTGCGTCGTGGCAGGTCCCGGCAGTGGCAAAACGCGGGTCATTGTGCACCGAGTGGCGCACCTCATCCAGACCGGCACTGACCCGCGCACCATCCTCCTCGTCACCTTCACCAACAAGGCTGCCGCTGAGATGAAGAGCCGTCTGCAGCTGCTCGTCCAGGAGCCCCTCGCCAAGCTCGTCATGGCAGGTGAGGTTGTCTCGTTCGACTTCCTATCATTGTTTCACTTTCCCGCCTTTTTTCTTCACTTCTTTTTAACCTCAACTGCTTGCTCACTGTTGTTGCCGCCTCCTTCCAACCTCGTGGATGGGTTTTCGGAACAGGCACCTTCCATTCGGTGTGCGCGCGGTTTTTGCGTCGCCATGCGCGCGACGTCGGACTGAGCTCCAACTTTTCCATCATTGACACGGAAGACGTGAAAGCACTGCTCAAGCGTGTGATTCAAGAGCTCAAGGACACGAAATGGCCCAAGGGCAAACCGCGCGACGTTATCGAAGTTCGTAAGTGAATAGCATATTGAATCATCGTGCTGACAGCATACGCGGGGATACAACGAGACGGAACGAAACAGCATTTTCCTACCTGTTTCGACTTGAAACCCGAGTGAAAAGTTGCAGTGCCACTGACCTCGAGTTGACTTGATTGTGTGATGTTCTCCACCAGGCACCTGCATGCAAGAAATATCAAAGTGGAAAAACCAAAACGTGACGCCACAGGAAGCGCGCGTCCAGCTGCAGAAGAAGACAGCCCAGCACTATGAAAAGCACAACATGGCGCACGCTGCGGACGTGTTTGAAGCATATGAGAGGAATCTGCGCGCATCAAACTTGCTCGACTTTGACGACTTGATGCTGTTTGGCCTTCGCCTCTTCCGTACCAACGAGCGTGTGCTGGCACCGTACACCCAGGCGCTCGTCGACGAGTTCCAGGACACCAACAAACTGCAGTTCTCGATGGCAGAGACCATGTTCCGCACCGTGCACAACATTACGGTTGTAGGCGATCCAGATCAGTCGATTTACGGGTTCGTTCCACATCATTTCTTTGTTGTTGGTTGGACCTTTCTGCCCCACCGTCACGTTTTTGTTTTGTTCCTGACTTTGACAAAACAAAAATCCACACTCGCTTGACTGCATTGCTAGGTTTCGATTCGCAGAGCCAACGAGCTTCAAGCGCATCCAAGAAATCGACCCCGCACGCACAACTGTAATCTCGCTGATTCAAAACTACCGCTCGACGAACAGTGTCCTTCGCCTCGCCCGCACTGTCATCTCGAGCAAGAGCAACGCGGAAAGCCTTGAGCTTTTTACCGAGAATGGAGATGGAGTCCCTGCTACCTTCCTCCAAGCTCAAGACCCAGACGAGGAAGCACGCGTCATTGCGTACGAAATTATGCGTCTCGTTCGCAACTGCAACCTCAAGTTCTCGGATTTTGCCATTCTCGTGCGTGTCAACGCAATGACACGTGCCATCGAAACTGCACTCGCTTCCTACCAGCTCCCGTATCGCATGGTTGGAGGACTGCGCTTTTTCGATCGCAAGGAAATTCGTGATTGGTATGTGGTGTCTGGATGGATGGTGGGGTTTTGCTGCCGTGGTGTTTTATTCTTCTTGTTCTTTGGTGTCTTGCAGCCAACTCTGGATTGTTTTTGGTTGAATCTCATTGAATCTGACTTCGTTCTTTTGCTTCGGGTTTGCCAACTACTCCCCCAACAGCGTTGCTCTGCTCAGGCTCGTTTCCAATCCATCGGATTTCATTTCGTTTGAGCGCGTGGCAAATGTGCCCAAACGAGGCGTCGGCGATTCGTCCATCTCGAAGATCATCGATGAAGCGCTCATGTACCGCACTAATCCGCTGGGATTGATCATGGAGCATGATCGGGTTACTGGAATGAACGTCAACGCCTGGACCAGTCTTCAAACGTTTTGCGAGCTGTTGCTCGACTGTCGCATGGTCAGTACTGGTCCCTTCCACAAGATCGTGATGTTGTTGTTTGTTTCGCAAGGCTATGCTCGCATTTTTTTTTTTGCATTTTGCATGGCGTCCTGCACAAACCTTCCCATACTCACTGCCAGACACACTCTTACTCTGATGTAGCGCCACATGTCTGGAAAGCTGAACGTCCGAGATATGCTGCACACAATCCTGACCAGAATTGGGTACTTTGCACATCTGGAAGCCACTGAGCCTGACGACTACAAGACTCGCATCGAGAACGTCAACGAACTGCTTGCTATTGCTGCGCGCTTTGATGCAGAAGGCCTCTCGGCCGCTGAAGTCGTTTCCCTTTCCACACAACGCGATGCAAACCAAGCCCAAGCGCAAGCCACGACGCAATCCGCTACTACGCCAAACCCTGCTGCTGCTGCGCCCGAGGCTCCTGCCAAAAAGCTGACTCTGAAAGAAAAAACAGCCCAGAAGGCACGCCAGTCCGCACTGTACCGATCCGCTGTTGCAATGACAATGCACGGTTCGGGGCGTTCGATCAGCGAATTCGCCGAGCTCGTGTCGTTGCAGTCGAGCACGGACTCGGCCGAAACCGCCGATGCCATTGTCGTTTCGACTTTGCACGCTGCCAAAGGGCTTGAATGGGCATGCGTGTTTTTGCCTGGTGTCGAGGAGATGATGCTGCCACACTACATGGCGGTCTCGACGGACAACCCTGAGAGCATTGCCGAGGAGAAGCGCTTGCTGTATGTTGGCGTGACGCGCTCGCAGTTTTTCGTCTACTTGTCTGCTTGTACCTCTCGGTACACTGGCGCGGGACATGTGGTCTATCCCGACCTCTCGCGATTTCTTTCATCCATTGTGGATTCGCCGCGCTTGCCCAAGAGTCTGCCCTTTATCAACGACGACGTTAAATCCGCGCTTCAGAAGGTGGTCAAGCGGCACGGGGACCATGCCGCCCCTTCCAGCAGCGTCTCCGATGCGAGCCTACGCGCGATACGAAACTCATCCTTTGTCTTGCGCGAATCTGACGAGTCTGAGATTGTCAACCCCGACTTGACCAAAGTGCTTGCTCTTGCACGTGCTGCAGCCAGATCTGCAGCCAGATCTGCCGCCGCTGCAGCAATTGTTCCTTCTTTGGTCTCATCAACGACTGCGCCGCCCGCTCTGTATGATTCTTCGACGTCCGCATTCTCACCCGTGTCGACTTCTGCAAGCAAGGCTTTGCAATCGAACGCTGGCAACGACGTCGACATCGACGTCAAGGTCAAGGCCCACCAGAATGATGGCAGTCCGCAGCCAGCGAGCTCAAGCCAAAGTCTGGCTGTTCGACCCAACAGAGCGGTTTCGTTGCCCAGTACGTTGAACGCTGCCGCAAGCAAACCACTCATCGATCTTCAGGATAGCGACGTTGAATGCACCGAAGGCGAGGGCACGGAATTGGTAAAGCCCAAGCAATCCGAGAGTGAGTTGCTCTCGAACTATGGCGGATTTTCCAAAGCGGGAACAGGAGCGGCGCCTTCCAAAGGTGCACATGGTGCGAAACCGAAAGCCGCTGGGAAGGCAGCCTCGGCAGGCTCACCCAAATCGAACAAGTCCTTGCAGTCGGGGACGTCCTCTTCGTCGCCCATGGTCGTCGATGATGACTCGGAGGCAGATGAGACTGACCGACAGGCTGGACGCACAGGGTTGGAAAACAGCCCGCTCGTCAACACCATCGATGATGGAGGAGCGACTGCCTCAAGTGCAAGTACAGCAAACACATCTTTGCCTTCACCCCGCTCGAAGCGCAGAGCCGAGGAAGATGCAGCAGTTGCGCGCGACGTTCCCCTGCGTCGTGGCCGTTCACTGGGCATGAAGCGCCCGCGTCTCATTCGCTGAGTTTTGACGTGTATGTTTTCGTTTTCGTTGTGATGGTTCATGTTCCGTTGGATGTTGTCTCAGTGCGGGATTGCAAGTTATACTGCAGCATGTTGTGCGGTTGGGAAATTTAGCACTGTTCGGATCATGCTCAACTGACAAAATGGAAGGATACGACGAGGATGGTGTGACCCGAGAGAGTCTCAAGAAGTTCAACGTTCTAATCAAACGTGTTGGAGATCGACCTGTATGTGTCATTCTGGCTCTTCACTGATCCTGGAGAGCGTGGTTTGCTGCGTTGCTCCGCCTCTCTCGGTCATTTTTGCCTCGCATCCATTATTTCCTGATCATTCTGATTTGATCGTTTCTCATTTCTCATTTTTCGTTTGGCTGGATCGAGGTTTGAAAAATTCCCCGTTCAAATGTTCTTGCTCCCTGCAGTGCTTCTCCCCTCCCCGCTTTTTTCCTTCTTCTGTCCTCTCCCCTTTCAAACGCTGCTGGCTCCCCCGTCAACCTTCACCCCCGCCTGCCACCGCGCTCTGCAACCCCCAGAATGAAAGCAAAAGACCCTTGAACAAAAGAAAAAAAACCCCCAAAGAAATCAAGAAAGCGAAAGCATGGTTTTTTGATTTTTTTCTCCTCTTGTGCTTCCCGTTCCTTCCCCATTCCCCCCTCTTCAAGCAGCTGCGATAGCTGTTTGCTGACTCTGCAGCCGTGCTCTGGCGGTTTGCGGCCAGGCCGAAAGGGGGTGGCTGGTCAGCAAGACTTTGGCAAGTGCTGCTGCTCCTTGGAGAGCGAAAAGTCGCTATTTGAAAAAAAAAAAGAAAAAAAAGAAAAAAAAAAAAAAAGAAACGAAAAAACGAAAAATGAAAAAATCCAATTGCGATGGTGCTTTTTCTTCTGTTGGGAACGTCGTCCACTGCGGCTCAATAGCGTGGAGTAGCCCGAACGACACTTGCACCAAGCGCAGGTGTGCGGAAGCGGGGCTTGCTCACTCGAGAGACCCACGAAAACAGGAAAGAAAAAGAGCAAAAGAACAAGAGGAAAAAAAAAAACCCAAAAAAACAAGCGAACATTTCATTGTTTGTGTGAACGTCGTTTCAGCGAACACTTTAAAGCAAGAATGGCGACCAACGCCAATGCACAAAACACAAAAGTGAGGTACGCAGAGTGGTCGCGGAAGACCATGGCCGGAAGACGAAGGGGGTGGGGTGACGAGTGCCAAGGAGGAAGCGCGTGAGAGCAATGCAGTTCAAAATGAAATGCGAAGGCGCGGAGTTCACCAAAGACGAAGGCGTTTGAACCAAAGAGAAACAAAACGACGGGCGTCGCCGTGCTTATAGATGGAGTGGGAGACTTAAGCAAAGGGTTTATGTCGGGGAATGAGGCCAAGAGGCGGTGCACCTTGGTGCAACTGAAAGAAATGAAAGGAAAAAAAAAAAAAAAAAAAAGGCAAGCTAGATCCAACAGAAAGGGAAAAAAAGAAAAAAAGACAAAAAAATCGTGTCAACTTCAAAGTACGAGAGCGATAGACAGTCAGGGGTGTGAGTATGTGACAGAGACTGGCAAAGGAGTTGCGACACGTGAGGGTGCGCTCGAACGCAGAACGGGGCTTGGACAGAAGCAAGCGAACTAACGAAAGCGAAAAAAAAAAAAAACAAGAAAAAACAAAAAAAAACGACGCCGTTCAGGGATCAAATCAAAAACGATGCAAAAAGAGCCAAAAAAAGCTACCTCCTTGGCTTCGCTATGGCTGCAGCTGACCGGCGTACTGCGAGAGAAAGCGACGAGGGGGGCAGATCAAAGTGCAGGGGAGCAGAGGATGAGTGAAAAATGGGGCACTTGAGCGAACTGCAGATCAAAGCGTGACGAACTTTGGTCCAAAAGATCAAATTGCATTCATTGCTCATTTCAAATAGTAATATATGGAAGAGGAAGAAAAAAATAGAATTTATTGGTTTTTTTTTCTGTCCTGTTCTTTTGATTGTGCCTCGCAACCCTGCTGCTATGGGAGCAACCGCGTTCGACTCTGAAACCAAGTGTTGTAACACCCGTACCTCACTCGGACCTCCCACCACGATCCCCACTTTGCATCTGCACCCCCACTGTTCCTGCGGATGTGTCGAATCTGCGTGTGCTACAGTCATGCAAAAAAGAAAAGAACAAAAAAAAAAAAAAAAAAAAAACCCGATTTTTTCGATTCCATTCCTCCTTTTTTTTTTTTTTTTTTTTTTTTTTTCCATTTCTCTTTTGTATTGAATCTTCCTCTTCCTCTCTCGCGCCATCTCGCTTCGTGATAACACACCAACCTCCCTTCCATTCCAATTCCGTGTTCTCGCTTTCGCTGACATTGCATCCATCTTGTGGATTTTTTTTTGATACTTGCGATCGCAGTTCCACGAACAAAGTTACTTCCTTCACTTTTCAGAACCTTCCATTCCTTTTTTTTTCTTTTCCACCATGTCAGCGCCGATCGAAATCAACGATCAGAATCGCATCAGCGAAATTGTGCGGCCCCCGGCGTCCCCGCCGTTCTGGAAGAAGCAGGCATTCCCTTCCAAGCACTGGTCCGAGTCCACCGACGCTGCTGGTCGTCGCTACTACATCGAGTAAGAAATACCTTAGTTTTTGATTTGCGATTTTGGTGTTTTTTCAGTGTGCAACGTTTCGCTCTTCTGAGCGCTTGGCTGGGCCCACGCCAGCGGTTTCTTGTCACTGGGAAGCCGGACAACAACAAAGCGGCGCCCTCTCAAGCAGTGGAGCGTGGAGCGTGGAGCGGAGAGAGAAGGCGGACGCATTGGGTTGCTGGGATGAACGAATGCGAATCAGCATTTTTTGAGTTTTGATTGATCATCAAGTCACTGCCGCCCTTCCCGACATTTCATCCTCATTCAATGCTGTGTGTACATCCTGTGCATCATGATGCAAGGATTGAGTGTGTCTGGGTTTGGGTGTGAGTGAGCAAGTAAGTGAACTTGATGTTCACAACTGTGTTTTCGCTTTCCAAAAAAAAAAAAAAAAAAAAACCACCTCAGTGCCCGCATCGCTGCGAAATTTAGTTGGCGACCATTGACTGTTGTCATTTTCGCATGTTCTGAGATCACGCAGCTCGCGACACCAGCAGATCTTGTTTCTTCCCCGTTTTGTTGATGCTGTCTCTTTTGATATCTCAATTTATTGGTTTTTGGTCTTGGTTTTGATTGCAGCCATGCCCACCGTATCACATCCTGGATTGATCCTCGCGATCACCCCGACCACCCTCGCCGCCCCAACGGTAAAGTGAACAATACTTGAAAAAGAGCGATTGTCCCCAGTTTTCTGGCTTTGTGGGTCGTTCCACTCGATTAACTTGTTTTTGCTTTTTGATTTCAGACCTTCCCTACGGCTGGGACTTTGCCGAGGATCCCGACGTTGGCATTTACTTCATTGAGTAAGAATCTACGCTGCTGCGCCTTTGATGGTGATCATGTTCGTGCCTGACTCATCATACCCACCCTCTCCATCTCCACAGTCACCTGAGCAAGCGCAACACGCTCGACGACCCCCGCATGACACAAGAGTATCAACTCCGACAGGAGCATTTTGCCAAGCTTCTCCAGGAGGAGCGAGCCAACTTGGAGGAGCGTCGTCGTCTCCTTGCTGTCCAGCAAGAGGAGGTGCGCGCTGCCGAGGCGCTTTTGCAAAAGGAGATTCAACGCAAGGCTCTGCTCGAGGAGGCCATCCGAAAGGGCAAGGACATGGGCACGGACACTTCCGATTTGGAAGCCGATCTGGCCCAGCTCAACGCTCGCATCCAGCTTGGTCAACGCGCGCTCGCTGCCGTCAAGGACGCACACTCCAACATGGGAGAGGCCGTCGCCGAGTCTGAGCAGACCTACAAGGATCTCCAGGCTCTCGAGGCATCCCTCAGCGTCTCGGCCGCCGACGAGCTCGAAGCCGCTCGCAAGGTCCAAACGGAAATCAACGACTCGCGCGCACAGTACGAGGCCGACCGCGCCGTTCGTGTCGCGCTTGAAGATCAGGTCCGCACTCTGTCTGTTGCCGGTGGCGAGGCGCTGCACGCCTTGCTCGACGAGAACAGCGAAGCGCACGCCGCCAACGGCAACGGCCTCGTTGGTGCTACTGCCGGCTCGACCCACACTGGCAGCGCCACTCTTGTCAACGCCGGCTCCGCCGCCGAGGGCGAGCAGCGAAGCGAAACCGAGTCGCGCACGCGCCTCGAGCTTGGTCTGGAGCTCATGACCATGCGCAAGATGATTGCCGAGCAACGCAAGGACATTGACGAGCTCAGGCAAATCAAGGCTCTGCTCGAGGCCGAGGATGGTGCTTCGCGCTTGGCCAACCTCGCCGCCTCCCTCGAGGCCCAGGCTGCTGCCAAGGACGAGGAGGATGCTCAGATGGTCTCCATGATGGCCAACTCGAGCGACCTCACCGCAGTTTCGACCACCGGCCCCCTCATGGCCTCCGGCGGCCTGCTGGTCGCTGGCGCCGCGCACGGCGGCCTGGTCGGCGTCAACTCTGGCAGCAAGAACGATCTCAGCGCCGCGGATGCCCGCAACCGCGACGTTGGCTCTGCTCAACACGACGGCACTCAGCATGGCAACCACAGCGCCGACTACATTGCTCGCAAGCGTGCCGAGCGCGAGGCTGCTGGGCGAAACCCCGACGAGAGCACTGACGACGAAGACGACGACGGTGTCTATGTCTCTGTCGGCGATGAGGCCGACGAAGTTGCCGTCGCCCGCAGGAAGCGAGCACAGTTCTCCGAGGATACTCTCGACAACGAGGACTCTCGCAAGGACTTTGAGGAGCGAATGCGCCTTATCAAGGGCCGTGACTGGCGCCAGACCCTTCGCCGAGTCTACCAGAAGAAGGACGTCTTCCCGTCGCACCCCGAGTCGCTCACCTTCAAGTATGTGAAACTTGCTCGACTATTTTTTTATTTTATTTATTTCTCCTTGGGTGGGGGTGGGTGTGGGTGTGGGTGTGTGTGCAATCTGCGTCTGACTTGTTGTTTTGTGTTTTGCCTTCACAGTGCCAAGCTGAGCTACTTCAAGAAGCTTATGGAGGAGGCCAAGGGCAAGTAAACACCTCAGGAATCGTCGAAGAGAATAATTGCATGAATGCTTGCTTCTTGCCGATAGTCCGCACTGTTTTGAAAAAACAAAGTTGTCTTGATTTTTGTTACTTTCGTTCTTCCTCGTGTGTGTTTTGTCCTTATTCCTTTTTTTTGCCGTTTACAGAATTTTTGTTCGCTTGGTGTGTCTTGCTCGCTCGATGCACTCTTGTTGTTTGTCATTACATCCAAAGAATCAAACCCACAAGTCTAAATCCGAGCTCTTGAAGGATACTCGACGCGCGCGCGTCGTAACAATTTATTCATCTCCAGCATCATCACCATTCTCCTCATCACCAATATCGTTGCCATCGTCCATGCCTTGAAGGGCAGCGGATTGCTGGCGTGGACGGGAAGATCGCCGTGCGGACGGGGAGGATTGAAAGTCGCCGCCGTCGTCTTCCTCTCCATCGACATCTTCGCCTGCCTGCCGCGCTCCTCCGAAAAACTTGGCAGCATCAGCCGCCGTCGCGGTCTTACGTGTCGAAGCCGCCTTCTTTTTGTCACGACGCGGGTCGCGGCGTTCGAGCAGGTGCTTGCCATTCTCCTCTGTTCGTCGGTTGGCAAACTGCAGAACGAAGGGCGTGTTTGTGGGGTAGATCTTGCCAGGCGCGACTCCGCTCGTACTTGGCTTTCCCTTGACTTTGCCGAGGGCGACGGGCTGCGGGATGATGTCTGCATCACAACAAAACAACACAGCAACAACAACAACAACAACAAAAAAAAAAAAGCAAGTGAGAATTTGACAAACAAAAAATCGGGGCAGGACGGCGAAGCCACCAATCACACGACAACAAAATATAGACTGCATTCGGAGAGAATGAGGCCAGTGTGGCGCTGAGACAGCGGTACTCCACGCACAGTGCGCAGACGAAGAACACAAAACACATAAAACAACCAAGCAACCCTCACCCGCAAGGAACTGATACGCGGTGTCTTGCTCCACAACGTTAGCTGGTAGTGCATACATGTCATTGATTGACAGAAGCATGTGAGAATGCAGATCTGCCTCTGCAACGTGAATCACAGAGCAAATGCACAAAAGCAAATCCGATACTCACCAACATCCTTGTACTGCACAGTCTTGCGCTTGCCCAGATCAGCCGAGACCTTTTTCGCAAACTCTGCCACAAACATTTCCTACTCGAGCCCAAACGCATATCCCATGCACAAGACAAGGGACAGAGCCGAAAAAAAAAAAAAAAAAAAAGCGCGCCAAAGGGTGAGATGGCTGCCCCCAGTTGTTGTCCCAAATCTCAACGAACACAAACAAATGGAGCAGAGCTGCTGCGTACCGTGGCTCGAGTGACGAGGAAGACGGCGTCTGCACTGAGCAGGCCAATGTCCTCGTCCGATCGCATAATCCGCTTGACGCGGGAAAGCGGCAGCGAGGCCTTCAGCGCCGAAGGAGCACTCGTCGTCGTCGTCGTCGCCGCGGCTCCAGCGTCTGCAGCAGACTGTTGACGCTCTTGCAGTGCCTGGGCAACCTTCGCAGCGAGGGCGTCCGCGGACGACGATGACTCGACTTCCATTCGCTTGTCGAGCCTAAATGTTACAATGCAAGACTGAGACTCGCCCCCCCCCTCCTCACTCAGCGACTCAGAACGTTATAAACCGAATACAAGTAGAGCATTCGTTATTCGTAATGGCTGTTCGTGAGAACAATGCACTACAAGTCTGAAAGCAGCAAAAAACAAATCTTCCTTGAGTTTTTCGCTTGATCCCTTCGGTACCATTCGTCAATCACACACACACACACACTCTCTCTCTCTCTCTCTCTCTCTCTCTCTCATTGTACTGAATAGTGCAGTTTTCTTGATACCTACTTTCAATTCGTCTTGTTCGATTTTTGCTGCTGGTTCAGTTCTCCTTCCAGTTGTCCAAAGCTCAGCGCACATGTCGAGTGGATCAAAGGCATCATCATCGTCATCCGCGTCGTCGTCGTCGTCCGGCGGCAAGCTGCTCACCACCGAGAACGAGGTCATCCAGGCATTCCAAGCCCTCCGCGAGCAGCAGCAGCAGCTCATGCAGAAGAAGGCCGAGATCGAGACGGACGCCAACGAGTACAAGTACGCGAGCTGCCTCTGGCTTCCATTGCGCTCGCTCGCTCGCTTCCCTGTCCTCCGCCAGACACCAGGCTTGCTTGGCAACGAGCATCACTCCAGATGGGTTCCTCCACCTTCTTCATCTCAAAGCGGGACTTTGGCACAGAGCAGCGACTTCAGCACAATGCTGTTTTTTGTGCTTTTCTATGTGCTTTTTCTTTGAAGAGGCGCATCAGCCAAACGACCGTGGTTGCAGCTCCAAGTCGCGCAAGACACACACAAAAACCAAACGTTGTGTGGATTGCGATGAGCATTCATACAGGAGGCTGGGGAGTGGAGGAAGAGGAGGAATGCAGAGTGATGGAGACGCTGTGAAACAAAAAGCCAATGCATCGCCCATACAGAGCAGAGCCGACGCGAATCATGGATGCTCACGTTTTGTAAACTGCTTGCTGATGGAAATCTGGGGAAAAAAATACAGGCTTGTCATTGACACGTTGAAGGACCTGGACACCAAGCGCAAGTGCTTCCGCATGATCAGCGGCGTCCTCGTTGAGCGCACCGTTGGCGAGGTTTTGCCTGCCCTGCACGAGCACAACAACTCGGTGAGTGTCTGAAATTGTCGAGTTGCAAGCTGTGGATCCGCTATTGCAATGTGATGGTGGTGGTGGTGGTATGATCTCGACGCTTACTTTTTCATTTTGTTTCAACTCCAGCTGACCGCCCTCGTTGCTCAACTAGACGAGCAAATCGTCACCAAGGGCAAGGAGTTGCTTGCCTTCAAGCAAAAATACAACATCCGACTTCAGGGCGAGCAGACCGCTCCTGCAACTGCGGCTGCCAAGTAAAAAAACCCAACAATAACAACAAAAAAAGACAGTCGATTGTTTGAGCTTTTGCCTTGTTCGTGCTGCTTTCTGTAATTGTAATCAGAATACGAGTCAACATAGATGCCACATTTGACTCGTTTCTCAACACTGAAGCACTCACCACAAGTGCAGCTACCAGTTCTTTGAGAAACAAACATGACCAAACAACAAAATCAAGGAATTTTTGTTTTTGGGAGTGCAGATTCGCACGTACAACATACACACACATATCAATGTAACGACAAATACACGAGCAGGGGTTGTTCTTGTTCTAGTTGTTCTCGCAGACACAGCAGCTGGCTTCAAGCCATCTACAGTAGACTCGCAGCGAAAATACAACAAACAAATAATCCACACACGTACACCACTACAACGTTCACCATTACATATGGCCACCAAGAACAAAGCCAATGCCAAACTTGTTGGCACCCTTGAGATGATCGATGGAGGCGGTCAGGTAGAAGGAAAGGGCGGCGCCCATCTTTTGCTCGAGAACAGCGGAAACAACACCGCGCGAGTTGACATCGCCGCGGATGACGGAGCGGCGGAGGTTGTATTCGTAGCCTGCGCTAAAGACAGTCTCCATTGAGCGGAGATCGATGGCCAGCTCGGCACCAGCAGAAACCTTGTCGTTGACACGATGGAAGTAGCTAAAGTCGATGAGGCCCATCGGGGCGACGTGTGTGCCAAAGATCCATGGAGCAGGCATGAAGGCGAACGGCATGGTCTCGGCGGGGGTATCTGCCGTTGCGGCGGGGAGGCGTTGTTGGTTGGCAACCGCATCGGCAAGGGTCGGGCCGCCGCGGTAGCGAGCGCCGAAAGCGAGGCCAGAGTCCGTTGCTCGGCCGTCGGACTGCCACCTGTACTCGGTGCCGAGCGCAAGGCGCGGCGTGACGCTTTGCATGTAGTTGAGCAGAACCATGCCGGCGCCGTTCAGCACGTCGGGGTTGAAAATCTTGGTGTTGATGTGGAAGTCCTCGCCCTTGTAATCGCCCTCCAGTTGGAGGCCAAAGTTGGGGCCAGAAGTCTGCAGCACAGGCACATATGCGACAGTCAGTGAGAGCAAGAGGCAGCGGGGTAGTGGAGAAGGAGGAAGTGAAAAGCCAGTTCAAACGTATTGCAAACGCCCTCCGATCTGTCTTTGGTCTCCTACCTGAACAACAGCCTTGGTGCGGATGGCAGGAGTCCATTGGTGGATGGCCTGTCCGTTGAGGTTGCCATCGTGGTCCATCTCGGCCAAGAGCACGGGGAATTGCTCTTGCGAGTCGGGAATGACCTTGTTGGGGCCGACATAGGTGGCGTTGAAGCTGTACTTGGACGGGTTCTCAATGCCAAGGTTGACCGTGTGCGAAATGTTAAAGTTGTACGAGATGCCTTTGCTGACTGAGAACTTGGCGCCATCGATCAAGTAGTTGGTTGCAAAGATTTCTGCTCCAGAATAGACAATCATCGCATGTGAGTCGACACATGAACAAGACAAACGTAACAAGCACGACAAGCAATAGTAGCAAAATCATGACCATCACGGATAGGGAGGGGGATGTGGATCAAAGGTCAATGCATTGACTTTTGGTTTTCGAGCTGCCATCCTCGCAACCAATCACATGCTGTCCGTTTCTGTTCATTGCTGTTCATTCAGTCGGTGTCTCAGCCAGTGATCTGTGGTTCTGTTGGTTCCGTTGGTCCCAATCGTCGTCTGATCCATCGTTTGCTCACTCGTCCACATGTCGTCCCATTGTCTTTTTTTTTTTTTTTTTTTTTCCGTCCGTTTTTTTGGGTTTTGCTGTTCAGCACAGCACGATGAGATCCTGCGTCTGCTGCAGCAGTTGCACATAGGGAAAACACTGTGGCGACGTGGCGCAATGGACCCCTCCCCACGACAATACGCACGCTCAGAGCACAACACAGACAAACGAAGGACATCAAGGAAAAAAAAAAAAAAAAAAAAGGGAGCCAAGACATGAGCTCATGCACGGAGCGTGAGCAGGGGGATCCGAAGCGGGAGAGCAAATCCATTCATCACAAGGTCCAAAAGGGAGACAGATAGTGCAGTCGACGATCAGAGGGAAGGGGCGAGGGGCGGTGTTGCAACGACAAATCGATGGTGGAAAGGAGGAAAAAAAAAAAAAAAAAGAAAGAAAAAAAAAGATGAAACGCTGCGTTTTGCTTTTGCATGTTACACGCACCGAGCGTCTCCTTGTTGATGTGATCGTACTGGCCGGGGTAAGGGAGGGCCTTGCCGAACAGCCGCGAGATGAAGGACTTTGGCGCGGGGGCAGCGACGGGGGCCGGGGCAGCGACGGGGGCAGGAGCAGGCGCGCCGAGCGGGTTGAGCAAGGGGTTTTGAATGTGGGCCATTTGAGAGAAAATAAAAGGACTGGCTTGGACAGGGAGCGAGGCGATGAGATGGATGGATGGATGGATAATGGGCGGAAGGAAGAGGGATGTTGGGGTGGAGGTGAACGACGATCAAAACTGTAAAAAGATCAGGAAAAGAAAGGGAAATGGGTTCAATTACAATACACAAAGGGAAAAACACACAGATACATGCATACAACAACACAGCTCAGAGCGATCTGCCACTCTACAAGAGAGTCAGCAAGGATGCGCCGACGAGAGAAAGGCCAAAGACAATATAGCCGCCAAGGTACGTATCCTTGAGGACGAGGGCACGACCAGAATCCCAAACCTGTTAGCGCAGCGTGACAACAGCAAATGTAAGTAAACTCGGACGCATTGTTCGCAAGCACCCTCCCGCTCGACCAAACAGCGGCGAGACAACTCGCAACTTGCTCCAGTCAAACACACGAAAACTCTGCCCCCCTTCCGACTGCAACTCACAAGATGACGAATGCCGTTCAATGAGTGGTACACCAGAGGCCATGCAAGAATGTACTTGGCGGTGAGGGTGACGACGGAGGGCAGGTCGAGCGAGCGGACGAGGTCAATGTTGTAGGCAAAGTCGTGGACGGAGAGCGCCGAGTAGACGGCAGCGGTGGAGATGGCGAAGGTCATGGCAGCACCCGTCGCGCGGTGGGTGATGGACAGGACGGAGGTGAGCTGCGGGCGGTAGATGGTCAAGTGCGGCGAGAGCGGGCGGCCAAGCGCCTTGTTCTTCTCAAAGAAGGGCAGGTCCATGGGCGAGGTCGACGCCGCTGACGAGGCCATGCGCATGCGTGTGGCATGGGCTGCCGGTCGGATGCATTGAGCGAGCATCGATGCTCGGCTGTATTCACAAGAAGACAAAAGAGGCGAAAGGGTGAGCGAAAAAAAAAAAAGAAAGCAAAAAGTCAAAAGCTGTTTGCGCTGCTTCCATCGCGCCGCGGCTGAGGGACTTGTTCTCTAACTCGTTCATATTCATTCAATTGCAGAATAGACGCAGAAGCGTTGGGGTGGACGAGTTGACGCAGCAGTCATTCGAGTGTCTCAAAAGAAAAAAAAAAAAAAAAAAAAGACGCGATCCCCTTTGTTTCGCTCGTTGCTTTGGCTTCGGTCTAGTCTCGGCCCAGGCGAGGCCAGGACAGACGGGTGTGGTTGTCGGTCAAATAGGTGAGAGTGAGGCGGAAGGCGACAGGACGGGGTTGGGGGTTAGGCGGAAGGAGCGCAGTAGAAAGCGGGCTTTCAATTGGCAATGCTTTACCAAGCAGAAAGAGCAAGCGAAGGAAGCATTGTGCTGTGAGATGGATCAGCAAAAAGACTGAGAGACCTTTTGAGATTTGGGATGAGGATGAACAAACACTTCTCAGCCAGTCTCTCTTTGACATTTACTGCTCACTCTATTGATCACCATTAATCATCATCCTTCCATCTGGATCAATCTGGACAAAGCAGCGGATACACACACAACAAATGGCTGCCGCCGGATTCCGCACCGTGTTTGACGTGTCGGGACTGGCGCGACCGAACTGGTTCCCGGGCCACATGGCGCGCGGCATGCGTGAGATTGCGCGCAACCTGCAGCACATTGACTATGTGATTGAGGTCCACGACGCTCGGGTAATAACAGAGCGATTGGACGAAGCGATGCAGGCTGCAGGAGTTGTTGTCGTCGACTTCATCGCGCGCGCAAAATGGCCTTCTTTTGTCACCACAGGTTCCCGTCTCGGGTCGCAACCCACTGCTCCAGGCGCTGCAAAAGCCATCCACGCTTCTGTTGAACAAGATGGATCTCGGCGATCCGGCCGTCAACAAGGTACGCAATCTCCCAAAGCATGGTGTTTTTGGTCATCACTCTCACCCCCTCAAGTCTTTGCTCTGGACATCTATCAGATAGCGAAGGCTCGATTGCATGAAATCAATCCACGTCACAACGTCGTGTTGACAAGCGCAACGCTGCGGCTGGAGCGCGCACTCACGCTCGTCGTCGACCACATTTTGGCAAACGTGCCGGCCGAGCGCGCAGACAAGGACGGCGAGGGCATTCACGCAATGATTGTGGGCATGCCGAACGTGGGCAAATCGTCCACCATCAACGCGCTGCGCAGATTGCTCACGGGCGAAGGTGCACGCGCCAAGGTTGGCCCCATCCCCGGCATCACACGCGCCGTCATGCAGCCGCTGCACATTTCGCGTGATCCAAAGATTATGCTGATTGACACACCCGGTATCATGGCACCACACATTCCAAACGTCGAGGTCGGGCTCAAACTCGCCGCGGTCGGCACATTTATCGATCACCAGGTCGGAGAGGCGTTGATCGCCGACTACATCCTGTTCAGCCTCAACCTGCGCCGCAAGTTTGACTATGTCAAGCGGTACAACATGGACCAGCCGTGCGATGACATTAACGTCTTCCTGTCTGCACTTGCCCAGCACTCTGGACTCGTGCTCAAGGGAGGCTTGCTAAACACGACTCTAGCAGCTGCGCGATTCATCAAGGACTACCGAGAGGGAGCGCTCGGGCGCTTGACACTCGACGATGCTATTGTCGAAGGAGGACTTCCTGCTATTGTCGCCGCACAAACCGCTCAAGCAAGCAGTCCAAAGGCGAGCGAGCAGGCGCGTCTTCCTCCGCTGGACGAAGCAAACTGGAATCCTGTCGACGCCTTCGATCGGTTACGGGCAGAAGAAAAGCGCCTCCGGGGCTTCAAGCGAAGGCGATGAGACGTGTTGTGCGCAGTCGCCTTGGAGGATAGCACCCCCACCCCCAAAAAAGAAGTAACAATAAAAAGTATGCAACGTACTTGAGCTTGGTTGCCGACGACGTTTTTGGGATGTGTGGATCAACAGCAAGAAGAAAGAATGGGATGGTCGCAATCTTATCGAGCTCTTCCCATCTAAGTCGTCTGAGCTGCGCTGAGCTGTCTCAGATGATCTCCATTCCAGTCTTCATTTTCACTCCGGTCTTTGTTCTTTCCTTCAGATCGCCTTTCTGCTTTCTTCACCAATATAGACCGCTTTTTGCAACAATGGAGCAGCAATTCCAACGGCGAGTGTCTCGCAGGCGCTCCTCTCTTGTGGTCGCTGCCACTGTGGCGGCGGTGGTCTTGCTGATGCTGGCGTATTCGCCACAGTCCGCGTCTGCCGTCTCGTTCGAGCTGCCCGCCACGACCGTCCGCTGCTTCAAGGAGTCCGTCCACAAGGGCCAGCAGTTCGTCGGCTCGTACTCGGTCTCGGATCCCGCCAACCAGCAAATCATCAACCTCAAGGTAGGAAGACGAAAAAAAAAAATCAAAAAAAAAATCGCTCAAACATCAAATCCCGTTCTCCAGTTTGCGCGTTGTTGGCTCTGGGGCGTTTTCGTACAGAGGGACACAGAGTGATGACGATGGGAAGTGGCAGGGTTGCGGGGGATGGGGTTTGAGCGCGGCGGCGTATCCATCCAAAGACGAGCAACAAGGACGCGCTCGAAATCGGAGATCTCGAGCTTGAATCGCTGGCTCAGTTTCCCCCCAGCGTCACACCGAGATTGAAAGCAGTCAGCGTTCTTGTCGGACGATGGCCAGAACGCGCTTGCCTGGGTTGTCTGGAGGCGCGGAGGCGATGTTGCAGAAGAGAAGTTCGTCCTGATCTGGCTTAAGCCGTGCTGACACGCTCTGACGCACTCCAGCTGCCTCTTGCGAACAGCCAGATCAGAGGCCAACACTGAACACTGCTGAAGCAGAATGGACTTGAATCAGTTTTATTCCGAGAGCAAAGAATGCGATTGGCAGTCCCGCTTGATTTCTCACTGTGGGTTTACGTGTGATTTGGAATTCTAGGTGACGGATTCGCACAACGGCATTGTGTACGCCAAGGATAACATTGACACTGTCTCCAGCAAGAAGTTTGCCTTCTCTGCCGATCAAGACGAGCTTTACGAGTTCTGCTTTGAGAGCCGAGTTGATGCTGGTAAGGGGGAGGAACAATTTGGTTGTTCAGCTCTCCTTTTGCCAAGTGGCGATTCTGTTCCGTTCTTGGGTTGCTGGCACTCGTCGATTTTCATTCCACTTGCGCGCATCTATCAAAGAGGAAGAGCATGGATGGCGCATCAATCGACCAAACCCCCCCCCCACTGAACAACGCTGCATTCAAAAACCGGCAACCGTAACTGTCTCTGACTTTTCTCACTGCCCTCCCTTTTGAAACACAACCAGGTGTGCACGTCACCCCCGAGCACAAGCGCGACATTTCCATCTCTTTCAAGCAGGGCGTGGAAGCGCGCGATTATGAGGCGCTTGCGCAGGCAGAGCAGCTCAAGCCACTCGAGCTCACGATGCGAAAAGTCGAAGATCTGAGCCAGAGCATTCTCAGCAGCTTTGAGTATCTGCGACAGCGCGAGGAGGAGATGCGAGACACGAACGAGTCGACCAACGAGCGCGTCATGTACTTTAGCATCCTCTCCATGGTGATTCTGATTGCGCTCGCCGTCTGGCAGATCTTTTACCTCAAGCGGTACTTTAAGAGCAAGCAAATTATTAACTAAGCATGATGTGTGTGTCTGTATGTGTGTGTTTATGTGTGTGTGAATGCGTGTGTGCGTGTGTACTGCTGCATTGTTTGAGACGTGATTGTTGCGAGTGCGCTGTATGCTTGTTTTTCAAGCTCAATCTTTGTTTGCTGTTGGATCATACAAACTACTCTATCTGATGGTTTTCTTCATCTTTGCTTTTCATCTCAGTCGTTATTTTTTCCCCATCTCAGTCTGAGATTCACGCATCTTTTGGATGTGGTTTCTCACCAAAGCGTCCGATCCGAGTGAGACTCAATCCTCTTGATTTCAGCTCACCTTTTCACTTTTGTTGGCTAATTCACTCTTCAACATGCCTTGTGCACAGACGAGCGACTGTGGCTGCTGTGTGGCGAGCAGTACACGATCGGCCGCTGCAACACATCCATCATTGTGCAGGACAAGGCAGTCTCGCGGTTGCACGCGTCCATCCGCGTCGAGGACCAACCCGCTTCAAGCAGCACTGCCAACCACGGGGCAGGTACCGGTGCCGGTGCCGGTGCCGGTGGTGGTCCCAGCCCAGCAGCCAACGAGGTGAGCACTGCTGTGGATGAACGATTCAGTTTTCGTGCAACTTGTTTTTGGCGGGAACTTTGGGCGTTGATTTTTTTTTTTGGACCAATGCTCACAACGGATTACTCTGTGAATGTTGTTGCTTGCTTGGCTTTGTCCAGAGTTATCCACGCGCAATCGTGCTGCTGACAGACCTCAAATCGAGCTTTGGAACGCGGCACAATGGCACGCCGCTTGTTCCGCACGAGCCGGTCGCGCTGGCCGAAGGAAGTATCATTGAGCTCGGAGCGTCCGGCGTGCGGTATCAACTGCACCATCGCGACATTGTGTTGTGCGTATCCAGCATGGAGGCGGCAGCGGTGAGCCGAGCATCCGAGCTCGCTGCCAAGTGCGGCGCAGTGATTGTGCGGAACTACTCGGACGCCGTGACGCATCTGCTCATGGAGACGCTGCTGGTCACAATCAAAGTCACCCTGGCGCTCGTGCGAGCCATTCCGATTGTCACTCCGGCGTGGCTGGAGGCCATTTCGCGCCGGCGCCAATCGCCCGCAGACCCGTTGCCAAGCGAGGACGCCTTTCTGCCGCCTCGCTCGAGCAACAGTGGTAGTGAGGGAGCAGCTGCAGCTGCAGCTGCAGCAGCCGCGCCTCCGCGCGAAGGGGAAGCGGCGCCGTATCTGCCAAATCCAATGCGCAAGTCTCTGTTCGACGGGATGACCTTCTATCTGTTCGGCCAGGGCCAACGAGCAGCGATTGGCGATGCCATCATCCATGGTGGCGGACAAGCGATCGAGTACAACCCCGCGACCTACACGTTTCAAGCAGGCGGCGCTGCGACGACCAACCATCAACGTTCGATTCTGGACGCCGTCCTTGCTCCGTTCACGTGTGTGGTGCATCCGCAGCGCGCTCAGCTGCTCTGCTCGAGCCAAGAGTTTGCCGATCTGACCGAGCATGTCCAGTCCCACGGCGGTGCGGTGGTGACCGAGGGTGAAATTGGCAAGGCCATCTTGTGGACGTCTGTTCAAAAGCTGTGCTCAAGCATGGTGCCGACAGCGCCATCAGCAGGTAATTGGGGGAGGGGGGAGTTTGTTTGTGTCTTCTGAGGCAAAGTGTGCATGTTGGTTGCTCGTTTGGTGGCGATTTGGGGTTTAGAGAAAGGAAGCCTCAACTCGCAGATTTTGCCATGTTTTCAGCTGTTGAAGCAACGGACATCAAGCCGGTTGTGCGAGCCGCCGAAGATATCAAGCCCGACCTGAAGGCTCTCATGGACCAGCAGAAGCCTGCGATTTCCGAGGCACGAGGCTCGAAGAGGTCTGTACTTTTGGCACGTTTTCGTCCTCTTTGTTTGTTGTTTCCAGATCACTGACTATTTCGTTCAGGCCTCTAGATGAGTCGGCGTCACACACGGGTCAAGACCAGTTGTCGAGTACCGCCTCCTTCAAAGAGTCTTCTCGAAAGCAGCCAAAATTGGAAACGCCTTTGGAGGACGCCGCTTTGCGAAGAGTTGCCAGCGTCGAACCAGCTGAACAAAAACCCTTGGTTCGCAGACGACCAGCATCGACTGCAGCTTCCAAAGAGGCATTCAAAGAGCGGCAGCCCGTACGAGACGCAAATACCGAAAATGGCCATCCCGAGCCGGGCAGCCACATGAAAGTCACGTTTTCTTCGCTTGTTTATCAGCAGCCTCTTCCTCCATCGTCTATTGCTCCGAAATCGGGCTCAGAGGCTGTCAACTTTAAGGTCTTCCGAAAGGTAGGCAAGAGTCGACCTCCACTCCTTTTTGAAACAACTATCACTCATTTCCTTTCGTTCTGACTCGTTGGCCAGACCATTCATGCACAGCCCAATCACCCTCAAGTTGACTGTCGGTGAGGATTGGAGAGTCGCATCGCCTTTTCATTGCCCCATCCCAACTCAATCATGTTAATTAAAGTTTCACATCAAGTTGAACGAACGCCTGGTTTGTTTTTTTGGTTTCATTATTTTTTTTGTTTATTTTGACTTCCAGACAAAAGCGGATCTCAAAAGTATCACACACAAAGACAAAAATTACTACAACCGCGGTGCGCACCGAAACAACAGCAACCAAAAGGAATCAAACGAGCAAGTTGATGAGGTCTACAACATAAGAGGCCGAAGAAAGGAACCAAGGAGTTCATTGCAACGGGACACGCGACAAGAAGAAAAAAAGAAGGATGGGGAAAACAATGACGGGACAGGAGGAGGAGGAGGAGGATAGCGATGTTAAGCAACAAAAAAGTGCGCAAAACACGAAAGGAAGACAGAAAAAGTGTTCCCAAAAGGACAGGAAGAAAAAAAAAAGCGATTTGCGTCGACTCTCGTGATCAACACGACGAGAGACAGGGTGGTGGAGAAAACGATTAGCTAGAAGAATGTGTTTGGGGAAAGGGGGTCCAAGAGCACGAGAGCGCTTTAGGCTTGGATGCCGAGCTTCTCGAGGCATCGAGGGCCTTGTGCCTTCCACTCCTCTCGGGAAATCCAGAACGACTCCTTGTTCTTCATGATATCAGCAAGGACGGCACCGCCGAGGTAAACCATGTGCTTGCGGCGAGGAGGATCCTCAATGCGAATCTTGAACTTGGAGAGCTTGGAGGTGTCGCCCTTGAGGATGCGCTCGAGGTAGAGCTGCTTGATCTCACGCTCAAGTCGGCTGGGCAGACCGGGGTACATGGTGGAGCCACCAGAGAGGACAATGTGCTTGTAGAACTCTGGGCGGGTGTCAATGTCGGCAGCGTTGATGGTGTTGAAGAGCATCTCTGCGACACCGGGGGCGTCGACGTTGATGAGGTGGGGCTGGAAGAGAGCCTCGGGCGCCTCGAAACGCTCCTGGCCGACCGAGATGACGCGGCCGTCGGGGAGAGTGTACTTTTCGACGAGGACGGTGGTCTGGCGAGCAAGCTTGGTCTCAGACTCAATGTCGTAGGCCGAGTAGCAGACCTTCTCCTTGAGCTGGCGGACAGTCTCAAAGTCAGCCGAGTGGTTGAAGGCGTAGCCGCGGAGGAGGAGCAGCTTGATGAGGTAGCGGGTAATGTCGCGACCAGCAATGTCAAGACGGCGGGTCAGGTGGGGCAGTGCAAAGCCGTCGAAAACGGGCACAATGTGTGTAACACCATCACCAGCATCGACGACCACACCAGTGAGGAGACCCTGGGCGTACAGAACGAGCACGGCCTGGATGGCAACGTAGACGCCGGCAAAGTTGTACTTTTCAAACATGGTCTCGAGCATCTTCTCGCGGTTCTTCTTGGGGTTCATCGGGGGCTCGGTCAGCAGGACCTTGCAGTTCTTGGGGTCAATCTTGAGGCGCTCCTGGAAGGTGTAGTTCCAGACGTGCTCCATGTCCTCCCACGAGCGAACAATGCCGTTGTCCATCGGGTACTTGATGTCGAGCATGGCGCGCACAGCGGCAGCCTCATCACCGACCATCAGATCCTTGACGACGACGTCGCCAACCTTCTCATCCGAGCGGAGGATCGGGCGACCGACGAGCGACGGGAAGATGGCAGTGGGGAAGTTGGTGCCAGCAAAGCCGCACTTGACAAACTGCCAGACAGAAAAAGGGAGATACCAAATGTGAGAATACAAAAAGGAACGCAGGCGACAGGAAAAGCGGCAACGAACAACGAGAGAAAGCTATTGAGCGAAAAGAAACAAAAAAAAAAATCTGCACAACTTCTTTTTTTTTTTTTTTTTGGCTGAATTTGAATTGATAAAAATCAATAAAAATAAAATAAAAATAAAATCAAGCGAGAAAAGCACAACAAGAATCGCGCGTTTTTCCATCGCTGCGCCCGTTGTGCGGTTGACGGCGTCCAGCAAACGCCATGCCACGCCTCGCGATCGCACGCAGCGAGCAGACGCGCCACCCAAAGCATGAAGAGTCACAAAATGCAGAAAAAACAAAAGGCAAACGAAAGAAAGAAAGAAAAAAAAAACCCACATATTGAAAAAGGAAGGATTTCGTGTTTTTTTTTTTTTTTATTGATGCATTTTTACGTTGAAAATTTCCACTGTTTTTTTTTTTTTTGGTTTTCGTTCGCAGATTGGTGTTTGTTGCAGGTCCAGCGATCCGTCACGCCCACCACCCTCGCACATCCGATGCATCGAAAGAGAACAGGAGGGCGGAGGGGGTGTCGAGCGACAACCGCGGAATAGAAGGATCGACCAAGACACAACGCCAAAAAAAAAAAAAAGTTGTTTTTTTGCGATCTCAATCTTTTTTTGTTGTTTCCTCCTTGTTGCTGCTTGTTGTTGTTGTTCGCGTGCCTCGCGCGGGTGCGGATCGAGCGAAGGGACGAGCAAAGCGCAAGGCAGCCCAGTGCAGGGACGACACAACGGCAGCAGCAGCAGCAGCAAAGAAGCAAAAAAAAGGAAAAAAAAAAACAACGAAATAAAAAAAAAATCCATTTTTTCATTTTTTTCTTCCGATTCTGTTCAAATTCATTGTTCCTGAAGGCGAAAGGAGCAGGGGGGAAGAGGGGATGCAAGCATAGCAAACAAAGAAGAAGAAAAAGAAGAAGAAGAAGAAGCCAATCGAGTCTGTCATGGAAGCACATACACCAGTGCCGTTGTCGCAAACAACAACGCGATTGCCCTTTTCGTCCATTGATGTGATTCTAAAACAAAAAAAAATTGAAGAGTGAAATGGAGGGAAAAATACGACTATTGCATTGCATTGGAAGGTTTTGGTGTTGTTGACTGTGGACAGATCCTCAATGCAATGCAATGCATGGATTGTTATCACAACTGCAGGAAACGATCGATCGAGCGACAGCTTCAATCTGCTTTATTCGATGAAAACTTCAATTCAATTCAGCGTCATTCTAAGCGATTCAAGCACCGTCTGCAAGCCAGTCCCTGCTTGGAGCAGCAAACTTGTGCACATGTGCGCTCACTTTGTGTAGATCTGAACTTGGATGCATCGCAGTCATCATCAATTCAGAATCCTTTCAGAATCGGACTTTGGAGCCAATGACCGACTTTGCGCACCTGCTGCCGCCATCGTGGAAGACGACCGTCACTCAGTGGCTGGTAAGTTCATCATCCAATGTCCACTTTCCATTTTCCACCCGAAGAGTGGTTTGGCCTGCAGCATGAGCCGTGACCATCGCGCATGAACGTCAGCAGTATTGCTGTGGGCCGTGATGCTAAATGGCGCCCTCCACTCAATCACATCCAACCACCCCCACCCACTTTCAACCAAAACACAGGACGAGGACATCCCTTCGTTCGACTATGGCGGCTTTGTCGTCGGCGAGAAGGAGGAAACCGCCGAGCTGCTGGGAAAATCTCCGGTAAGAACAATGCTCAATGTCTGACATCACTGTAACACGCGTTCCCGCGCTCTCACCAGCTGTGAATCTCGATGCGGGCCTTTTGTTGGATTGTGCTTTTTTTGATTGACTCGATGGCAGGGCGTTCTTGCAGGCGTTCCATTTTTCGAGGAGGTCTTCCGTCAAGTTGATTGCAAGTACGACCAAAAACGCCCCACAATGATCGCATGTTGTCCAAATAGACACTCATCACTCGTTCACACTGCCTTACTAGAGTGCACTGGCTGGTCAAGGAAGGCGATTTTGTCGATGGCAAGCGCGTCCGGGTCGCCACCGTGACTGGAAAGGCGCGAAACATTCTGCTCGGCGAGCGCGCCGCCTTGAACATGCTGGCTCGTGCCAGTGGCATTGCATCTCGCGCACGAGAGCTTCGAAAGCTCAAAGACGAGAAGGGCTTCAAGGGTGTTGTGGCTGGAACGCGCAAAACGACTCCTGGTGCGGATTGCTGCCAAATCCGATTGCTTGATTTTGCTCCTGCCAATTCTGACCGCCGTTTTTGTTTTTGCCGCTCACTCATGCCTTCGCATTGCCGTCCTTGCTCTCGTCCTTATCTACACACCCGTGCACAGGTTTCCGACTGGTGGAAAAGTACGCCATGCTGGTGGGTGGCGTCGACACTCATCGCATGGACCTGTCTTCGATGATTATGCTGAAGGACAACCATGTTTGGAGCCAAGGTGCGCTGATGACTCTTTTCTTTTTGTTTGAACATAAATGGGTGTTACTTTGCTTGTTTCGGGGCCCGGTCTTGCTCATGCTTGTTCCATTCCTTGCTTGACCAGGTTCCATCACAAATGCTGTTCGTCGTGCCAAGACCGTTGGAGGATTCGCTCTCAAGATTGAAGTCGAATGCCGCTCCATCGACGAGGCTCGCGAGGCCATTACGGCTGGTGCAGACATCGTCATGCTCGACAACTTTGATCCCGAAGCATTGAAAGTCGCTGCCCGAATTCTCAAGCAGGAAAGTCCTCATGTGCTGATCGAAGGCAGCGGCGGCATCACCTCCGAGACCCTTGCGAGCTATTTTGATGATGGTAGGGTCGGTTTCTTTAAGCTTGAACCTCCGGATTGCGAAACTGCGTCTGCGTCTGATGCGTCGTCTAATATTTGTTGTTTTGTTGTTTTTGATGTTGAACGCAGCTGTCGACGTGCTCAGCATGGGAAGTCTCACACAAGGCGTCCCGCATGTGGACTTTTCTCTCAAGATTGTGGTGCCAAAGTGAACCATTCCATCGCCTCTTTCTGAATGTGCATTGGAAAATGAATGAAACACAAAAGTTATGTTTTACTCGTTGTATTCCAGCGTTGTGCGGCCGGAAACGTCGACAGCGACAAAAGTGACGGCAGAAATGCAGTGCAAAACAAACAACAACAACAAAAACAACAAAAAAAATTAAGAAATCTCTTAAGAAGGGGTTGAGAAAACGCGCAAATGCCGATCCATGCCGGCTGTCGTCAAGAAGCTGGCATTCGGGCCGAACTTGATGGCCGTGCTGGTAGCTGTAGGGGTAGTAAACTGGGCGATTTGCTTCCATTGCTTGGCGAGGAAGACTCTGCTCAAAGGAAGGAAAAACAAAAAAACAAAACCGGAAACAAAATCAATTTCAGGTCTTCACCCCCAGTTCACGCCAGCGCAGCAATGACGATTTGTTTTCTTACCGAATATCGGGGCCAGCAGTAGCAAGATATGTGCCGCTGAGATCAAAGGCAAGTGCGTGCACCGTGTCTTCCACCTGCATTTGCTGGATGGACTGGGGCGAGGCAGCACGCAAGTCCCACAAGCGCACAGTTCGGTCTTGTGCGGCAGAAGCCATGTAGTAACTGCAGAGTAGGCCAATAGGAATAACGGTGAGCTTTCCAAACACGAAACAAAACGTTTTCAGCACAAGTCTCAACGGGCGGTCGCTTCAATTACCCGTTTTCGGAAAAGACCACGCTGGTGATGGGCGCAGTGTGCTCGGAGAAGTTTAGCACGTTGGTCATTTCGTTGGCATCCCAGATACGGACAACGCCATCGACCGAGCCGGTTGCCAAAATAAGACCGTCGGGGTGGAATTGGGCAGTGGTCAGACCTACAGCATGCGATGCAACACAAGGACGCGAGATGAGACACGGTCTTCGACGTGGCAGAAAGCCCATTGCGAAAAAAAATTTTCTCGAAACAACAAAACAAAAGACTACCTACCGCTCGATTGAGGATCGTGTTGCTTGGCATACGTCGCGCCAGTTTCAATATCAGAGAATGCCCACTTGCCGTCCAGACCAGAGCTCACAACATACCGGCCCGTCGGCTGAAGGGTGACGGATGTGACTTCCTTGGTGTGAGCTTGGATGACTGTTCGGGTCACAAGGGTGTCAAAGACAGTCAGCCAAGAGCGTTGCAAAAAAAAAAAAAAAAATATGCAAAAAGGCAAAAAACCAATCCCAAAAATGCTTCACTCTTCGCGAAACATTTACCATGCTGGCAGCTCTCATTGCTGGACGTCCAAACGCGAACAGTGCGATCGGCAGAGCCAGTGACAACAACATCGGAGGAGGGGTGGAAGAGCACGGACTTGACGGCGCCCTTGTGGCCCGACAGAGTTCCAGTGACCTGGCCAGAGGAGCGGTCAAACAGCTTGGCAGTCTTGTCAGCGCCACCGGTGACGACGCGGAAGGGATCAGCGGCGTGAACGTCCAGCGCCAAGATGCCGGGCTGGCTGGCAGAGTGGATGCCACTGCGGGCCTCCGTCTGTTGGAATTGGGCAATCGCGTCCTGTGACGTGAGGCCAGCGGGCTTCTTGCGACCGCGACGGGCGTCGGACAGAGGCTTGGAGGCCTCCTGCATCGCAGTCACGACCTGCGACGGGAGGGTAGTCGAGCCAGCATTGGCGGCAGCGGCAGCGTCGCCCTCCGTGTCCATCGCGGACGCACCAGCGTTGCTGGCGTGGCTGGACACCTGGACATTTGCCAGCGCTTGGCGAGCAGCGTCGCGCTCGCGGGTGAGACGGGCAATCACACGGCAGGCGGCGTCGTGCTGGTACAGCGTGTGCGTGAGTTCCTTCTGGGACTGGTCGTAGTGCTGCTTCAGCTTGAACGTCTCGAGCATGAGCGCGTCCCACTCGTCCTGGAGCGTCTTGAGCAACGCAGGGATGCTTGTTGCAGACGGCGGGCGCGGGCGCACCGTCTTGGGCACCTTGACGGCAATGAGATCGTGCTCGCCCAGCGGCTCCTCCGTGAGTGGATCGCGGCCGTTCTCGGCGATATACTTGAGGATGAGCCTGCGCTCAAAGATGCCGCCCGACACGCGCGACACGACCGGCTCCTCGGGCGCCTCACCCGACACTGTGGATCACAGAAAACAAAACAAAAAAAAAAAAAAAAAAAAAAGGTCAGAGAACAGCATTGCATTGAGTTTCATTCAAATCAGCATTAAAGCGAGCGAGCGATGTTGTGATGTCTTTCTTTTGTTGAATCGTTTGTGTGTCAGTTTGAATGAAAATGGACAAAGCATCAGATCTCTCAACCTTGATCGTCGTCGTTGCTTTCGTCGTCGTTGCTTTCGTCGTCGTTGCTGAAGCGTTTCGTTCTGTTGGCGAAAATCCGAGATCGCCTCGTTTTTTGTTGTGAGTTCTGCTTTTTTTTTCTTGCTTCTTGTGCTCTGGTGAGCGACAGGTGCGATCTGCCGCCCAATCGCATGTGATGCGTGACATCTACATCTGTAGCCTTGGGAAGCGGGGAGGGGGGGGGGAGCAGCAAGGCGGGGTTGGTGGGGATGGAGAAACGAACATTCACCCAAAGGGCGGGAAAGCACAGGCAGTCGCGTGCGAGCAGCCAAGTGAATGCAGCGTGCATCGAAAGTGTGTGTGTGTGTGTGTGTGTGTGTGTGTGTGTGTGTGAACGCAATTGGGAGGAAGGGGGAGGTCGGTGGCTGACGCGGGAGTGAGGTCGGAAAGGGGATTTGAGTGGAACTGCAAGTGCTTACATCCACAGACAAGCGACATGAATGAATCAGGAATGGCTCGTGTTGCAAATCTGAGCTGATAAGAGATGATAAAGGTCGCAAATGGAGGTTGAACAAGCAGGTGTTCTGATATCCAGGTCTTGGGGAACAGGGATTGAATGACATTCGTCGCGAAATCGGATTGTTTGAGCGCAATCGTTCAATCCGACATGTCGAACGATCGAGTCCTCCTAATCAATGCAGAGAGCTGGATTTGCAGTCAGTGGACCTTTGTGTTTGTTGTTGTCTGGTTGGTTTCGTTGCCCTTTGTTATGCACGTCCTTGATCTTGCTGCGCAATTTTGGAGCAGCAACCGGCTTTCTTCCTCCGTCTTGCAGAACACTGGCCCACCACAATGACACGAGTTGGGGGAAATCCATAATCTATCTGTTCCACTTCCATAACTGTCTATGAACGCGTCTCAGTCCACTTACCTGACAGTAATCTGCAGCGACGCGACTCGCACGCATGGGCTCGAGGAATGAAGCCACTCCGCGCGCTTCTGACGGCCCTCATTGTGGCCGGCGTGATGGCCATCAGCATGTCCATTCGCTGGGAGAGCATGTCGTCTGACAGTAGCCTCGCCATGGAAGAGAAGCCGCTGCTCCCGGAGGATCACCCTGTCGAACGTTCAATGCATCGCTCCACGACTGAGACCGTGCAACGGCTGACACTATTGCCAAGGAGCCAATCATTCGAGCACGCTTCTGGGGTGTCAACACGAACCGATGGAGGTGACGATGGGATGATCTCAACCACTGCGGCTGTTGAAACGGCGAACCCTTCCTATCCCACCCCGAGTCCAACCGGCACTCGACCTTCAGCGACTCCAAACACCAACCCGGAGCTGTCGCTAGGCACCTTCGTTTGGCGAAATGCACGCGACCGACCCGATCCTGCAGCGTTTGCGTTGGAAGCCGAGTTCTCCAATCGAGTGGGCTGGTGCGTGTTTCAAGATGTGACAAGTGAACAACGCCTACGTTACGATCACTCTGAGTATGTGCTGAGCACTGCCTCACACGTCCACATGCTACCAATGGCGGAGATTGCTTCCGATTCCAACGCGAATTCCGATTCCCCCGCGTCTTGCGAGAGTCCTGCCGCACCGCTGCAAACTGCCACTGCTGGAATGCTGGCAGTTGTCTGTGACAAGCCATGCGACGACCGAAACACTTGCGTGTGGTCTACACTGCGATGGGTGGCCGATGGGTGCTCGCCCATGATGCCGAAAGTCGCGCCTCGTCCGAGCTACACTCGCTCCTTGTCAGCCCTCCAGACGTGCATACAACTGCGCAAATCAATCCTGTTCCTGGGAGATTCGACCTTGCGTGGCTTGTACTTGCGACTGCTCGATTTAGTCGGCGCAGAGTTGCCGCCTCCTGCCTTTCATGCCAGTCACGCCGCGCGCAATGAAGATGTCTTGCTGTTCTACTCGTTCTGGCCGCATCTTGAGTGGTCGCAAAACCTTCCAGTTCCTCCATCCGACGAATCGTTTGAGGTTCACCTGCTCGAAACACTTGCCTTGTTCGAATCCACTCGCCAGCAACACAGCCCGACTTTGCGCGATTCTATCGAGGGCAACAGTCCTCTGACGATCGTGCTGTTTGGGCAATGGTGCAAATCAGCCCTCATCGAGCGCGCCCAGGAAATCCTTGTCGCGCGGTACTCCAAAGATGGATTGCATCTGCCGACGTCGGTGCAAGTGATTGTCAAGTCCCACAGTCCAGGCTTTGACCATGATTGGATGGTCGAATCTCTTGCACAGCACGACACACTTCGTGCACACGTGCAGCGGCATCGCGGATGGAAGTGGCTTGATACGCTCACGACATCCTTGCCGGTCTGGTTTCGTTTCAAGCACGATCGCTGCCGCTGTCACTCGTACAGTCAAGTCAACACGGCCAGCGTTGCAAGCCGCGTCATCGGCGAAGTGAATGACGTGTGGTTTGAGCTGTTGATGCAGCTCGTTTGCGAGGACGAAGCGAAGCGATGAAATGAAACAACATCGTGTTGCTTTGTTGCTTTGCTTTGTTGCTTTGCGGCGAGGAAAAGATGTACAATTTCACATATTTATTCATTTATTCTCTGCCTCACTCTCTTAGACCATTGACGACTCCCCATTGTTGGGATTGCCACTCCTTGAACTTTGCGCAGGTTGAGTTTCTTTGACTTTTCATCACAAAGAACCAACCCAACAACAACTTGCGCGTACAACCGTCCCTTTTCGCACCCACTCACCTTCCAGCCAAGCGGCAATTGCAATTCCCATTCACCACCCTCACCATTCCCTGCCTCGCCGCTGCCACCGTGTGTCCACCGAGGTGCGCTCGATCAGAGCAGAATCACTAAAAGCCCGCCACAATCGATCTGGGCCCACTCTCCCCCTTTTGGCTTCTGATCTCCAAACCCGCGCGCTACAAGCATGCCACAAGGGCATCAGATCGAGCAGAGTGATGACTGGCCACCGTGTGAGAGCGACGGACATTGGTCGGTCGTCGTAATGAAGAAGCAGAGTAAATGGATGGTGTGGGGTCTTTTCAATCCCCACTTACGCCATTCGCCGCGGTCCCTCTCGTCTCTCTCTTTCACTCGCTCTCTCTCCTCCTTCTCTCTCTGTAGGGTGTAGCCCACTCACCAAACCAGATGCACAGAGGCGACCGCACTGCAACTCTTGCTTCGTTGGTGTTTTTCGCATCTCCACCCAAATTTAGCGGTGGGAAAAAGAGCGTGTGTGTCGGCCTTTTTGTTCATTCAGCTGCTCATTCAGTTGTTTGGCGCTCACTTCATCATGTACGGCTCTGGTCTTTTGCTTGATGCATTCTAGTTCATTAGGTCATTAGGTCACCCAGCAAAGCACCAGCATCGGTTGTCTCAAGCCACTGCAGGATCGTTCGTTCGCATTGCAGCCTCGAGCAAACCTCTTCGTTTCTTGCTTCGATTATTGCAAACAAATGTCGTCTCCGTTCATGAGTTCGTACAAGGAAGAATCGCAAGAGCACGAGCACGTGCAGACCTCCACCTTGAGCGGAATGCTCGACATCGAGCCTCGCCAGCATTCGCATTCGTTCATTCGTGAAGAAGACGAGGACGAAACAACAACAACAGTGACTGCGGATGGTCACAACTCATCGCCCGCCAAGGCCGTCGAGCACCACGATCTCTCACACATTACTGGCTTGTCCTTGCACGTGCAAAAGTCCAACGACGCGGCTTCCGGGGTGTCCACGTCCTCGGCATCCTCGCACCAGCTCCGAGTGTCGTTCAGCGACGATCCGCCCACCAGTTCTCTGCCCGCAGATTCCGATACAAGCGCAACCGAGGCCCACAACAGCAAGTTTGGCTTGGCCGAAGGCCGACGCCTGCCACGGTACCGTCGAATGAACTTTGGCCACACTGCTCTGAGTCGCACCGTTTCCGAACCGCTTCGCCAGTCCGATGGCGACGGCAGCGACACGACTGCGTCGTCGAC